AACTCTGCCTGTTTAAGGATCAGTTCTAGAAATCCTTCTCAGCCACGCTTTCCCTGAATCCGCAGGGGAGCTTTTCATTTCCCTGCAGCTAACTCGGGCGCACTTATCCCACATTTTATCTCTTTCTACCTTTTATTTCTTCCTTTCCCTTTCTACCTCACGGGTCTCTAGATGAGGTGCTGTGAATAGGACTTAAGTTGAATATTTGATCTCCCACTCCCCAGCACAGCTTACCCAGCAGTGATTCTCGGCCCGGCCTGCGCAATCGGATCGCCTTGGAGCACCTAAAAAAATACTGGTGCTTGGACCCTACCCCAAACCAATTCAACCAAAATCTCCTACAGTGGACCTGTGTGTCGGTATCGTTGTTTTGTTTTGTTTTGCAGAGCTCTCCAATTGAGTCAGGATTGAGAATTACTGCTCAAGAGGCTCTTGTCTTTTCAGGCCAAAGTGGTTGACCTCTGTGAAGGCTTTCTGGCTATGGAAAAATTTTCCTCCTTGCTTAGGCCAAGGGCAACAAAACTCCTAATTAGTAGAAGCCTGCTGTAGTTCATCTAAGTTCCAGCCAGAGGGGAAAATGGAGTTGGATCTAGAGACAATGCCGAAATGGCATCATTCTTGGCGCCTGTAACTACACTATTCTGTATTTGGGCTAGTGGTCTCTTCTCATTCCCAGTCTTGCCATTACTACTTTTCTCCCAGAAAAAGAATTGGTAGCAGAGTGTAGAGTGGGTGTGATGGGGGGAAAAAGTCACTGGAGATTTGTATTAAAATAATCCCTTGTGTGACAGTGATTCACTGTGACCAAAGGTGAACTGATTGAATTTTTTGGACCTCAGGTTTCTTATCTTTAAAATGAGCATAATAATGTTATACATCTGGCAGAACTGTTGCAAGGATAAGAAACAATGTCTTGGAAATTGAAAAATACTTTGTAAACTGTAAATTACTATAAGGCATCTTATTAAAAAAAAAAGTGGATGTGGGTGACAACAAGGGACTTGTATAAAAAAGAGAAGGGATCCACCGTGTATTAGGCACCTAATAAATGTCAACCCCTAGGCTGAGTCTGTTTACAAGTGCTTGTTCTTCGAATCCTCATGACAATCTTGAGGTGGTAGTTGGAGTTAAGTATTTAGAGACATTGGGTAATTACCACAAGGTTATTTTCCAAGAGTGAAATTATAAAAAATTATAATGTAATTGATGAATCTGGGCATCTGCAGATATGGCAAATATCAAAAATGCTGAGAAAATTTAAAGGACACCCAACTTGGGCTTCCCTGGTGGCGCCGATGCAGGGGACACGGGTTCGTGCCCCGGTCCGGGAAGATCCCACATGCCACGGAGCGGCTGGGCCCATGAACCATGGCCGCTGAGCCTGCGCGTCTGGAGCATGTGCTCCGCAACGGGAGAGGCCACAACGATGAGAGGCCCGGGTACCGGAAGAAAAAAAAAAAAAAAAAAAAAAAAAAGGACACCCGACTCCAATCAAGCTATAAGGTGATTTCAGGTTTGGGGGTATGAGGCCACATAGTATAGCTGAAAAAGCATGGTCTATGTGTCTGATGTGCCTGAAGTCAGCATAATTTAATGAGCATCTACTATGTGTCATGTGCTGGGAATACAGTGGTGAACAAGATATACCTTTATAGAGCTTACAGAGGAGGCAATCAAGGAACATACAAGCAATTATAATGTAGGGATAAAATTTACAAATAGGGGAAGCACAGAGTACTATGGAAGCACATGGAGTGGCTCCTAATCCAGTCTAGGGGGTCTAAGGGGAGTCTTCCTGAAGAAAATGTTCCAGACAGAAGGCCCAGAACTGTGTGGTTTGAATACAGAATAAGGTTGTGAATATAATAATGAGGTTGGAGAAGGGGTAGAAGACTAATCATGAAGGGCCTTACAACCCATATTAAGGAGTTTGGGCTAAAACCCAAGGCTACTGGATTTAAATGGAAGGAAAATGGATGAAGGGCTTTAGGCAGGAAAGTGGAAAGAGGTGGTGGTGACATGACCTATTGCATTCTAGAAGGATCACTCTGGCTGGTTGTAGACTGGATTGGAAAATGGAAAGATTAGAAGTATGAAACTCGTAGGCAAGGAGATTAAGATGTAGCCGGAGAGGTAGGGGAAAAACCAGGAGTATGGTGTCAATGTAAGCCAAAATAAGAGTATTTCAAGACAGGAGTGGCAACAGTGTTACATACTGCTTCCAGGTCAAGGAAGATAAGGACTGAAAATATTTACAAGGTTTATAATCAAGGAAGTCCTGGGTGACCTTGGTAAAAGCAACCTCATTGGCATGGGGGTTAGAGGCAGAGCAGGAATATTGGGATACAAATGGAAAAATTTGTTGTGGAAGCACAGAATTACCTAACCGTATGAGTTAGGTCTGAGTCTGAGAGAATAGAGAAGGCTTCCTAAGGAAAGTACTCAAGGACAAATAGGAGTTAGCCAGATGAAGAGGCAGAAAAGGAAAATCGAGGCAGAGAACACCACATGTGCTACACGTACTTTGGGGGCGCTAAACATAACTATTGACTCTGGGAAGTTTCTTCACTCATATTTCTCATCTCTAAAATGGGAATGATAATACTGACAGTCCTTATCTCACGGTATCATTCACTCCCCCCCTCGTTAAAGCATCACAGTACTTTCATATTTTAAAAAAATGAATTTAATCTCTCTCTAGAAACAGTGCACTGATTTTACAAATGTCCACATTTGGTTTTTAGTTCACCAAGATGATGTTGGTACAATTAGTGAGATGCAGCACACCACCCTTTGCCTCTGGAAGAGAAACCAGACTGCAAAGGGGACTGAGTACAGAAGCGAACGGAACTCAGAAGGACAAGACAAAAAAGCGTAAATGGTTAGTGTGACCCAACATTCTAACATGCCTGTTACATCAAATATGGTCACTTGGGGGTGTTCATAGGAAGACAAACAAGGAAAGTTCATTTGTGTACAACGTGATGGAGTTTGCAAACCAGTAGCTCACCCCACATCAACAACAGCTTGTATAGAACAAAATGCTATTTTAAAACACATGGTTTGCACAGATATTTGTTTTCTCTTGTAATTTTTGTAAAAAAGTATCAAAACCTTCACGTCTTTAAATATATATATACATATACAGGTGGCTTTTTAAAATTACTCTTCATAGCACAAAGTGTTTGCAAATGCAGAGGATTTCTGCTGATTCTTGACTATGTACATGGTGCATAGCCTGAATGAACAAAGCTTCCTGATTTCTTATATTAACTGAAAATTTGAAGCTGTAATTCCTCCACCTCTAAGTTCTCCATATCCTGAAAATCCCCAATACCCTAAAAATAGTGTGAGAAGATTCTGATACTCTATCTTCATGCATTTCCAGGAAAAGAAATTATTTACTCTGAAGCATTTAACTGATAACTCATTTATATCTTGTGAAATGATGAGTGTATAGCAGGTGTGAGGGAGTGGGGTAGAGAGGCTCACATTCCTGTGCTCTCTCCCCATTCCCCCTAGCACCCGACTGGGCAGTGCTTGGGGTCCCCTCTGCAGACCCCACGTCTTCAAAATTTCCAGTTTTCTTTTTCACCGTTGAGAAAATCCCAGAGGCTGTTGACAACATGGAATCCTTCTGTGAAAATCCCACTGCCCTTCTATCAAGTCTTCATTGACCGTATCAAAAAACTTCAACTCAAATTTATGAAAAGCAGTCACTGTTTCCCTTTGGCCACAGGAAAGCTTGAGAGTGAAGACTGTCATGTCTGCAAAGTGCTGGCAACACATTCTGATCAATTTTCCATGATGCACTTGGTGCCTTATACACAGTAAATGACCAAGAAATGTTTCATTAATTGAATCAGAAACTAAATAGAAGTATTCTATAAAGTGCTTACATTGAACCTGTCTTTCCATCCAGCCTCGTTTCTTGCTAAGTCTCCCTTGAGCCTTTTGCTCATTACAATGAATTACATGCAGTTCCTTAAGATGCCCATGCTGTTTCATGCTTCTGTGTCTTAGAACAGTGTGTCCTCTGCCTGAAGCAGCTTGGACACCCCTACTTAATTTCTAAGACTTAGCTTAGGGCCACTTTTCCTACAATGCCTTTCTTGACCCCATTCTTACACCTTTGTAAACTAACAGTACCCCCCAAAATATCTATTCCTTTTTTTTTGTTTCCACATGTCTTCCTCTAATTGCTACTGTGAGTTCTGTCAGGACAGAAAGTGTTTGACTGACCTGTACATCTGCAGTACCTGGCACTTAGTTGGTACCTAGCAAATAGTTTCAGTGGACGAATATACATATTGCAATCACACAGAATTGGAGGGATGAAAAGTACTTATTGCTATACATTTAAATACGGTCTCATTCTGAGGTTACAGTTTACCTCAATCTGTTTTATATGTAATCATGCTATCAAGAGTAAATAAATAATATTTTAGTTTTCCTCATTTCTGGAAGGATATTTCTGCCAGTGCTTTCAAAATTCCACCAGAAAGATAGGCCATAAGATAGGCAGCAGGTTTGATACAATGTTCAGGCAGCCCAAAGTAGTCTCCTGGAAAAGGAAAGCGAGGAAAAGGGCTGGGACTAGTTTCTTTTACACATATAAAAAAATGTCTGATAAATTTTCTGCCCCTCAGGCCTTATCTCTAAGCTTCCTTCCAGCTCTGTAGTCCAATGACTCTGTGATCCATTATTGGCTGTAGGTACATGATGACGCAGGGGCAAAAGGCCACAGAAGTGCAACTGTACCTCAAAACGCATCCAAGAATAGAGAAGAATGAACCTGACTCCTCAGATTTCATCTTATTTACTGCCGTCCAACACATGAGTATTCCACAGTTTTTTGTAGGTTGCTTCCATAACTGTCTCTTCCAAACTGCAGTTGTAGCATATTCAGGAAACATGGATGTCTCTCAGAGAGTTGTATTTCATCATCATTTTGAGATCTCAGGCTGAATCATCCTGACCCTATTCATTATTTTTTTCTGTGAAGGACAGGATCTGACTAAAAGTTTAGAAACTATGCATTAGTCACTATTATCATTTCCCCAGGAAATTCTATTTCTTTGGAGGCAGGTTACAGAAAAAGTTGCTTGTTTTGTGTAAATTTCAGTGCTTTTCACTTTCATGATTTTTCTTCAGTCAAAAATAATTTTACTTTCCATTCTTGAAAGAATAGTAGTAAGTGATTAAGCTCTATAGGAGTTGGCCACCTGTTCTTAAAATTCTGTTTGGTTTTGGTCATTTTAGGTCAATTGCATATACCCTCTCAATGAATGTTTCAGGACTATCAACACATGTATATCATGAAGAAACCGCTTGCTTATGCAAAGCTTAGTGCCCAGGCTCCAGAATACAGTTATTTTCTCAGAAGACAGGAGACCATGAGTGATGTAGAGAAAGGTCCTAGGAACAGGGTGACAGAACCCCAGAATGTCTGCCTGGAAATTCAGAAGGTATCAAGCTGGTGACACATCCAAGCTTCACAGAGTTGGGGGCAGCTGGGGAGTAGAAGGGGAGGAATTTGCTTAAAAGTGTCAAGTTCCAGGTATGTTAAGGTTAGATACATGTCCTCTGCTCCTACTTAAACCAAACACTTCCATGTCACACCTTGTCCCTGGTTGTCCAGTGGGAGTGAAGTGGCAGAACAGCAGAGTTAAGACCACACCTTGGATAAGAGCCAACGGGGACTGAATTCCTTCTGGGACTGTAGGATTACCTTTTCAATGGTAGACCCCACAAAAAGAAAAGTGCACTTCTCCCTGCCTCCCCCAAGGCCCAGGAAAAGCAAAGTAAGTGTCCACAATGAAAAAAAAAATCTATACATATACCCAGAGTTTCTCCTTTTATTTACAAAGCAGTAAACCAAATCCCTGTGTGAACATATATATCCAATATACTGTAGCATTGTGTACGCCGTTTCCCCCTCAAACAGGACTTTAGGTTTGGCCGCTTTTTCTGATTTAAGCCAAATATTAGTTTCATCTATGTGAACACATGATGGCAACAAACCTATGTATCACTTTAAATTGTTTTCTCCACCTAAAGGAAATGGTAGAGAGAAAGGGGAAGGGAGAAATAGAGATGTAACAAAACCTGTTCCTCCATCCTCATCCTCAACCCACAGCATACTCGGAGGTCAGTGCCTGAGCCAGTCCCAACAGTAAACTTGGGCTGTTCAAGAAACGTCTCCATTTAGCTCTCTATAAGTAAGGATGGCACCCTCAGTGTGCTTCAGAGGAAACAGTGAATTCAACCCAAGTCTCCTAAAAGAAAATGAAGTTACTTGAAATGCTGAACTTTAAAACAAGGAGTAGCCAAGGTTCAGGCATGTTCTCACCTGAGCTCGCGGGAACTTTGGGTACTGTGTGAAGTCTGTACACTGGCTGTAGCCACAGAAGAGAACCACAGTAGCCACGGGTGAGCTGAGGGCCTTTTGCTGACTGATTGGAATCCCAAGGACAGCCAGAGGCAGAAAAGATCTACCTCTCCCCACTGCGTGTTTGCACAAACCATGGTATCTCTTTTCTGATCCAAATTTCCAAAGGCTTCTCTGAAAACTACAGATAACCCTTCCTGTGGACTGTTTTAAAATATATTTATCTTTATGTATCTGAACAACAGCCATAGGTGTGCCTCTTCTCTACAGATTTTCCTTTCTCACTCACATACACACATAAACATAAATGCACACAGAGTCCGGGTGGTAGGCCAATCATACCAAAAATAAATACTCTCACCTCTCTAAATTACTTATAGAACTAATCTTATTTTTGAAATATGTTAATAAATAATCTAAACGGGAGAGGGAGTTGAAGTGTTTTCTTCGTTTTACTTATGTTGATGGATAGCCACAAAGCATAATCATTCTATTTACAAAAAAAAAAAAAACCTCTGAAACCTAAAAAAGCCCCCCAAAACCAAATACCCTCTGTAAATATAATTTTTAAATGATGAGTAAGCTACTGTACCATCGGCCCCATTTGGTTATGTACATCACGTTAGTCACTCAGCAGTAGCTATTCCATGAATTCCTCATGGGTAGTGCAACCAGTTAAAAAGTGTATAAAACATTATACATATAAAAACTCTCACATCCTTTGGATGTTTGCAGTTCATCATAACTTTGTGGTTACCTTTCCGCAATATAAATTAAAAAAAATTACACACGCACACACACACACACAGACACGCAGACTCATGTACAGAAACCCTTCCATCCAGGCATACACCATCCAGGGTGTAGTGCACGGGACTGAATTCTGTGAGGCACGAAGGGAGTGGTCCCATCCTCAGGGCAGTCCATCATCTTCAAGGCTTAATGCCACTCGCTGGGGGAGACAGAGCAAAGAAATCACCATTAGACCCACTGGAGCTATTTATTGGATCACAAGGTACCAGAAATTCTATTACTTTATAGGCAGTAGCTCACATACTCTTCAAGAAGCTACCTCAGAAGACGCGTTTGTCATATTTATTTTACAGATGAGAAAACTGAGACTCAACGAGCTTAAACAGCATTTGTCCTGGATCATAGAGCAAGCGGGTGAACTCAATTTGAACCCAGATCTGTATGAATCCAGAGCTATAGCTTTTTTCATTATTCTGTTCTGCCTCTGTAAAGAGGAGGGCTGTGGAGATCTAAACTTTCTCCATCCTCCCTTACAGGATTTTAGGTTTGCTCAACTTCAGTGGGTTAGCTTTGGCAAATGTTTAATCCCAGGCCATTAGCTACTTGTCTCTAGCATGCTAGTCACAATCAGGAAGGTAACTGGCTGCACCCCTCCCAACTAATTATCCAGAATTGGAAGGCAGTGGAGATCAATTAAGTTTAATCCCTCTTTCCCTCTCCCCAACTTTCTAGTCATTAGATACTAGACTTCCCTCTGCCACAAATGGCTGACCACCCACTAACCCTTGAGCCAGTCTATTCCATTGTGGACAGTGGACTTAAATTCTTTCCTATATTGTCATGAAATCTGCTTCTTTATATCTTCCGATGTTCCCTGATTCTCTCTCTTAGACTCAGAGAGTTCTACACAGACAACCCTTGAAATTTTCAGTGTTTGTGTTCCCTTCCCTTCCTTCTGAGTGTTTTCTTCTCCAGGCTACACATCTAGCTTCCCCCACCTGGTCCTGATACAATGCTGTGTCCCACTCTTCCATTTCCTGGATACCCTCCTTCGGATAGACCCCATTGTTTCAAGATCTTTCTCATCACTATATGAATTTGAGCTAGCCACTTCACCTCTCTGAGCCTCGGTTTCATCATGTTAAATGGGAGTACTAATAGGACCTACCTCATAGGGTTGTTGGGAAATCAAATGGGATTATGTGTGTAGAGTGCTTAATGTAGTACCTAACACACATGGGGTCCAGAGTATTCTAAACCAACCTAACCAGCGTAAGATAGAACCAGACTAGCATTTTCTGTCTCTGAACATTCTATAAACAATAAAAAGTAACTCCACTGCCTTTCAAATCATCTTTGGATTATTTGTGGTTTTGCACGAATGTCACGGCCTTGCTCCACTAGACTATCTTTTTCTAGTCTGTGACCCTCCCACTCTCCTCAAGATAGATCTCTAGGCCAAAGTCAGGTCCTAGCAGTGATGGTGGAGCTACCTGAGAAGGGGACAGGGGAGAGAACAGGCTGTTGAGAATACTGATTTCCACAGCTTCAAGGCCATATACCCTGAGAAATAGTGGAAAGAGCATGGGCTTTTGTGTACATACAGATAGGAGTTTCAATCCTGGTTCTACCACTTCCTAGTTGTGATCCTAGGTAAGTTATTCAATTTCTCTGAGTCTCAGTTTCCTCATCTGCAAAATGGGGCTAACAATATCAAGTATATAGGTTTCTGTAAAGACTAAACAAGAAAATACATGTAAAACACTGAGGAGCGTCTGATATACAGTAGGTTCTTACTAAATGTCAATTTCCTCACTCTCCTACTCTATTTCTCTGCAGTTGGCAGGAGCTTAATTCTTCAGGCCTTAGATTCATCAGGAATAGCTCCTCCTGAGTGGTTGCTTCCTTCTGTGGAAACAATGACACTTTACATGTGCAGAGCGCTTTATAACTCACAAAGCACTCTCACATGTGCTATCTCACTTGAACTTTATAAACTTAGGCAGCAGAGAGAATGGGGGTTATTATTCCCATTTTACAAATAAAAGTAATCAGAAAGAAGGGACTGAGATCACAGAGCTGTGGAATAGTGAAACTGGGAGTCATCTCCACTCTAAGCTCAACATTTCTTCCACTGTGCCCCCTCTGATCTTTAAAAATTGGTTAAGCAACTGTCTGCTTGGATTGGCCAAGGTTAAGGATCCTCAAGGCCATCTGCTAACGCTCCTCACTTGCTTGACCTCATTTCCCACGTCTCCCCTTCACGAACAATTAGCTTCAGCAGCAATTCTGTCTGTCCTGCCCCGTACTCAGTCATTTCTTCCACATGCCATTTCCTTGGTCTGCAACTAACCCATCTTTCATCTTTGCCCCGACACCCAACTCACAGTTTGCAGCCTTCTAGAACCAGAAAGCCTTCTAGGATTGACTGCACCTGCCTGGTTCATGCCCTCGCTCATCAGCCCCTCAGACTCAGAGTGGCACTGCCCTACCTTGCACTTGACGACAGGCAGCTCGGAAAGAGTGTTCTTCGGGAGTTGGTGCAGCTGTGACCTTGGTTCCCCCGGCAAGACAAAAAGCTCCTTGAGGGCAGGGGCTGGGTCTTCCATTTCTCTGGTCTCCCCAAGACAGGGCTCTGCCCACAGTGGGTGATCAAAGCTGCTGATCGCCTGACAGGGGGATGGACTGGATGACCCATGAGGTCACACCCAGCCCCGACTCCGCTATACAACCATGACATCTGCTCCAGCCACTTTGTGGTCCTTGATCCCCCAACAAGCCATGCCCTGTCGTGCCTCTCAGCCTTTGCACATGCTTCTTTCTGGAATGCCACTTTCCTCCTTCTCTACGTGGAAGACTGCTATGAATCTTCCAAGGACACAGTTCTTCTGTCACCTTTGTTGATGTTTCCATAGCATTGGTTCAACAAATACTTACTGGGAGCCAAATATGCTGTGCTAGGCACCAGGGAAACATTAATCAGACAATCCTGCCCTCAAGGAGCTCACGTTCTAGCAGGGAGACCAATGAGTAAAAAGACAAGTAGACTATAGTGACAGGTGCTGTGATGGAGAGAGGTGGTGAGAGAACAGAGAAACCAGGGAAAGCTTCCTAGAAGAGGGGACTCTTGAGCTTCCACCATGGCACTCAGCACACAGCTGTTCAATAGCCAGTGACTCTCTAACTCCCCCACCAGCTCCCTGGGAGCAAGTACATCCCTTCTTTACTTTGGAACACTTGGTATCTTATGTGGTACTTGGCACATAACTGGTATACATTGTTCACTGAAATGAATGCATTTGAACTGAATGGCCACAGTTGCCTTTCTAGGCCAAAGGTTCTGAAAACGTATTCAGCACAAAGACAGGCCTCTTTCCTCCAGGAAGAGCCTCTAGGTACAAGGTGGTCCTGATACCCTTCTATCCCAACCACCTACCCCAGCATTCCTGTGTCCCCAGGGCCTAGAACAGTGCCTGGCACATGGTAGGTTCTTGATAAATGTCTGAAGGAGGGAAGGAAGGAGGGAGGGAGGGAAAGAAGGAAGGAAAGGAGGGAAGGAGGGAAAGAAGGGAGGAAGGGATGGAAGGAAGAAGGGAGGAAAGGAAGGAAGGAATTCTTCCAGCAAGGAACACTTACTGCTGGATAGACATGGCCAATCTGAGCAGCCCTCCCTATGTGGAGCTCATCCTCATCCTCTTCTTCTGTCGTTTTCCTGTATACAGGGTTGTCGAAATTCATGCTTTTGGTGTTCTTCCGCTTCCAGTTTCTCCAGATCAGGTAGCCACTCATGCACAGCAGGGCTATAACCACTGGAGGAAGAGACACGTTACAGTGGATCTCCAGCAGGCTCCAGCCCGTTGCCCAGACATCAGTCATTTCTCGCCACCTCTCCAGCTTGGCTGCCCCTTGTTCCCAGGCTCTGTTTCTGCATATTCTTTTTCTGCTGCTGGGAAGGCCTTCTCCTAGCTCTTTGTTCATTAACTACTCATCCTTCAAGATCTAGCTCAAATGTGAAGTCTTTCTCAACCTCTCATGGTACAGTCAGTTGTTCCCTCGCGTGTGTTCCCAGACCACAGTGTTGTACTTTATATATGTGTACCCCCAACTAGACTGAGCTCTTTGAAGGCAGGGACCGTGCCTTCTTTCTCTCACTGTGCCCAGTGCCCAGTAGCGAGTAGGTGCTCAGTAACATGCTGAGTGAGTGAGTGAATTTCTTCACCACACTCTTGCCCTAATACTGCTACTTCCCTGGATTTCTCTAAGAAACCATTCTCTCCCAAAATTGGAGGGTGGAGGGTGGGGTACTTCTTTCCAAAGCTGGGGCTCTGCAAGAAGAGGAGCATCTCTAGAAGGGAACACAGCAGGGAAACACAGGTTCTGAGTTAAAATAAATGGATATATTAATGAGTAAATGAGGAAGTTCTCAGACAGAGCCGGGAGAAAATGGGGCAAGCAGCTTCACAAGATAGTAAGCAGTCACCGTGAGCATTCAAGTGGAGGCTGGGTGATAGCTATCTAGGATGCTATAGGGGGGTTTCTACAATACTTTGGTAAGATTATAATAATCAATAATAACTGATATACATAAAGATAAGAACAGGGCAAGGATGTCTGTTATCGCTGCTATATTTGTTGTTCCAGAGATCTAGCTATGCAGTGAGACCAAATAAAGAATTGAAGGGCACACATGGGAAAGGGAGAAATCAAACTGTCATTAACAGATATTGTATGCTTGGAAAATCTTAGAAAAGCAGATGAAAAACTATTAGAAATGATTTTAGTTCATCAAGAATCAACAGAAAAAATCAATAGCTTTCTTATTAATCAGCAATAACCAATCAGAAAATGGATGGAATAAGAAAATATTCGTAATAGCCCAACAAAAAACTATAAAATACTTGGGATAACCCAATAAGGAATGTGCAAGTCCTATGTGACCTATACAATTCTACTGAAGGCCATAAAAGAAGGCTCAAATAAATAGAGATACGTCATGTTCCTCGATGGGAAGGTTCAATGTTGTAAAAATGTAAATTCTCCCCGCATCAATTTACATACCCAAGGCATAAGATTCCATCATAAGTTTTATAGAATTAACAAGATGATTCTAAAGTTCACTTAGAAGAGAAATTGAATAAAAATAGCTAAGAAAATGTTCCAAGAATAATAATACCCTATTAGACATTAAAACATATCATAAAGTTGTGTTTCGAGTATATAGGAATAGTATATAGGGATTGGTGGAGAATAAACAGCCTAAAATCAGATCAGTATGTATAGGCATATAGTTTACAATAAGATGACAAGTCAAGTCAGAAGGAAAAGATGGACTATTCAATAATGGTCTTGTGAAAACTAGACAAGCATGTTGAAAAAAAACCTTAAATCTCTACCTCTTGCTGCATTCTAAATTCCAAATGGATTAATAATCGAATACTAAAACATGCTTAAAATAGTAGAAAAACATATAGAGAGATATTTTAATAATTTAGAATGAGGCAGACCTTCCTAAGCAAGACACAAAGCCCAGAAGTCATAATGTAGGAGATTAACAGATCTGATACTTAAACATTTTTAATTCATGCATGGCAAAAGAGACCATAAACAAATTCTAAAAATCAAGTGGCAGGATGGGAGAAATGATTTGTAACATATATTACAAAGGTCTAGCATTAATTATGTATAAATATTTCTACAAATAAGTAAGAATAAGACAAGGAACCAATAGAAAAATAAGAAGAGGCTGTGAATAGGCAATTCATAAAGGATGAAATGTAAATGGCCAGTACGCTTGTGAAAAGATACTCTGCCTCCCAGGGAAATATCAGGGAAAGAATATTCATCTTTCAGCCCTCAGATAAGCAGAAATTTAAAATAATGATTCTATTAGGGCACGTTACATCAGGGAGACAGCATACACATGCCCTTCTGTGGAGCAGAGTATGGCAGGAGAGGAGTTGATTTCTCTTTCACTAAACAATGCTGAGTATTTTCCATTCTACTCAAAATGAGCCTGGAATAGTCTCACCATCATCTTTACTAATAAAGCCTTTCAAGGCCAATTCAAATGCCACCTTCTTTAGAAGTGCCACTCCCTCTCCTCCACAGAGCATCGGGTCTCTATTACAGCACCTTATAATATGTAGTAACACGTCTCTTGTATCACCTTTTTTATGATTAAGTCTTACTAAAAACTGAAAGCTCTTTTTTTTTTTTTTTTTTTTCCCGTATGCGGGCCTCTCACTGTTGTGGCCTCTTCCGTTGCGGAGCACAGGCTCCAGACGCGCAAGCTCAGCGGCCATGGCTCACGGGCCCAGCTGCTCCGCGGCATGATGGGACCTTCCCGGACCGGGGCACGAACCCGTGTCCCCTGCATCGGCAGGCGGACTCTCAACCACTGCGCCACCAGGGAAGCCCAAAACTAAAAGCTCTTAAAGTCTTTTCTCTTTTTCTTCCCTGGATCCTTGGCACCTCGCACAGTCCCTTGGATGGTGTTGAAGTTTTTAAAACATTCACTCGCTAACTCACCACCATATTGGGGATTCTTAGGATAAAAGGGCCAAGTCCTTATCCTTGAGGTACTACACATGGGCAAGTAAGGGAGATAAAACGATGAATGGACAATCGCAATTCAAAGATCCGACCAAGAGAAGAGACTGGTACGAGAGACAGGATGTGCAGGATACTAAGTGAATATCAGGGTAAGAGAGAATGAATCAGCCCACGTGGCTCTCTGTGAGGTTTAACCAAATGTTATATTCTGGCCATATTCCAAACCCACCCCACTCCCGCCCTCCCATGCCATCTCTCATTCCTGGCTTTGCCCATGTTGTCTTCACCTGCTTGGGTTGCTCTAGGAACTCTCCCCTGTCCGCTTCCCTCCTCTCCCAATTCCAAGATAAGTGCCTCAGCATTTCTACTGAACTGCACACGGCTTCATTTTAGGACTTACCACGTCAGAATCAAATTATCTGTGTCTCTCCAACAAGTCTATAAACTTTCGGAGGACAAGAACCATGTCTTACGTATTTTTAATCACCTTCCCTCCCCTTATCACAGAATCTGGTACATCATAGCTGCTTGATAAATGTTTGTTGAAAACGAAACAGAAAGCAAGCAAGGTAGCACGATCTATTAAAGGAATGGCAAGCAGCTCTATGAATTTTTGTTAATGTATGTTTTTTCTACTCATTAATTCGACAAATACTTTATTTCGTCCCCTGTGCCAGACACTGCTAAGAGCTGGGGAGAGTGGCGAGCAAGAGAGACACCAGACCTGTCCCCGTGGAGCCTACAGTTTGGCTTCACATGGCTGGTGTGTAGAGTATCCGTGACGGGTAGTGGGGGAAATATGTGGATAGCTGTCTGGGGCCAGGTCCTGAAGAGCCTGGTGTGCCAAGCTAAGAAACCAAACGAAATCAGGACTGGGAGGTGCGCAGGAAGGCGGCCAGGGCAGAAAAAGTCAGAGAGAGAGGTCCGTGTGCTCAGCGCTCTGTCCTTCCGGTGCTTTTACCCAGACCCTGGGCAGGGTCTCTCTCTTCTCACCAGTGACTTGGGGCCACACTCACCCATAGGCACAATGATCCCAATGACAGCAGCAGTGACTGTTGAGCCCATCTTGCCACTTTCATTCCCATCTGCAAAACACAAACGTTAGCAGAACGATGCTCCATCACTGTGAGTCCCAAGTCCTTGCTGGCCTCAAGCAGTAAAAACTACCCAACTGCTTCTTGCCCCCGTTCCAGAATGATGATCCCGGCTACTGCTTAATAATTTAGTCTTTCCAGATCTTATCAGGACAGAGGTCATCTCCATTTCACAGATGAGGAAATTGAGTCTTCTTGGGGTTTGGGGGACCCACAGAGAAGTGGCAGAGCTGGGATTCAAACCCAGGATTTGTGACCTAAATCCCTTACCCTTTCCACAGTATTTGGGTGGTGGGAAGCTCGGGGCTGAGCCCTTAGGTCTTTATGTTGCTGACTACCTGGGGCAATTGCCTTTTTCAGCCAGTATCTGTTGTTTTGTCTCTCTTATTTCTGTCTGTCCATCTGCATCATCAGTGTTTTTTTTTTTTTAAATAAATTTATTTATTTATTTTTATCTTTGGCTGTGTTGGGTCTTCGTTTCTGTGCGAGGGCTTTCTCTAGTTGTGGCAAGCGGGGGCCACTCTTCATCACGATGCATGGGCCTCTCACTATCGCGGCCTCTCTTGTTGCGGAGCACAGGCTCCAGACGCACAGGCTCAGTAGTTGTGGCTCGTGGGCCCAGTTGCTCCGCGGCATGTGGGATCTTCCCAGACCAGGGCTCGAACCCGTGTCCCCTGCATTAGCAGGCAGACTCTCAACCACTGCGCCACCAGGGAAGCCCGTACTATATATTTTTAAAAGTAGGTTGTGCCATCTTTTCCACTCTCTTACACTCATCTTCAGTATAACATCTGTACAGAACTTTTTAGTTTAAAAAGCAGTTTTCCCTTGGATCCTCATGACAGCCCTCTGAGGTTTGGAGAGGAGCTATCATTTGCTCCAAGAGAGGAGATGATTGTCTCCTGGCAACGGCGCAAATGCTATCCTCTCAGTGTGTCTGTTTCTCCAAGTTACTCCAAGGGAACCTAATTATTAAGGGGAGAAAAGACCTGCACTGCTTACAAAGTTTACTGTGGAAATGCCGTTCTCTTCTCCCTCCGGGTCCCAAGCATACACAGGACAGTGATATTAAAGCCTAGAGCGTGATGAAGCCAGTGGGGAGACTCCCTGGTCGGAGGCTCAGCCCAAGTGAAAGGAACTGGACTTCACACGCGACCCACCTGCCTCTCCAAACTTCAGGGTAAGCGCTCAACTCTGAAAGCGCTCCTGCTGGCAAGATGGGCCTGATTATTAAGGTGCTACCACGCTGCTTAGTTTCTGGGCCATGTGCATATGGGAAAAAATTTAAAAGATAGTTTATCCTCTTAAATGAACTCCCCCAGCAGGTAACTCAATTTAAAAGGTATTTGCTGGTTAATGAGATAGAACATTTCTAGCAGTGACAATTACTGCTCCTGATGATTTAATAAGTGGTGAACTTAATTATTTTCATCCCAGGGTTTGCAGAGAGGCACTAACAGACCATAGTTATGGATATCACTATATGGGGAACCTACCGAGAGTGCTGAGAACTGAGACCAGGGCATTTGAAACTTCCAAATCTGAGGGATGCTCCCTCATACATGTCAGTAACGTGTGACACAGACACACTATCAGAGTCAGCAGAGGCTGTGTGCATGAGCACTTCTGTTTACATGGATGCCTCTGTCTCTCGTGGCAACCTTGCGAAGCAGGTAAGGGAAGGGTTATTATTACCCTACTTTGTAGATGAGGAAACTGAGGCTCAGAGATAGGAGGTAGCTTCCCTCGAGACCCTCTATAAGGTAGGAGCACCTATGACTCCTAAATTGCGGGTTGGCACTCTTCCTCCCGCTGCTTCCTCCTTGTAGACAGCCAACATTTAGCTCTGGTATGACCACTTCTTCCCACAGATCCCCCGATCCTGGCTTCCCTAGGACCCTCCCACGTCATGAAAGAAGGCAGAACTCATTTCCTTACAGTGCTGGGAGTGGTTGCTGGTTGCAGGGCTTGGGGTAGACGGGTTGATGCTGGGAGCCCTGGGGACACTAACTGAGCCTGGGACCGCTGCTGCCAGGCTTGGTGTCTCTGTGCTGTGGTTCTGGTAGGCGGGGCTGTGGACGGTGGTCCCAGGGGCTCTGGTGGTGTCGGCTACTGTCCTCGTTGTGGTGGAGGCTAACGTTGTAGTTGAGGTAGACTGAGGTGCTGCGGGGGAAATATCATGAAGGTCACTGGACAAAGAATTTTGCTGTTTTAGTGCCTAAATTATTGCCTCGATGAAGTATACTTATGAACTCATCCTCATGGCTCAGCTCAAACGCCTTCCTTAAACCTACTGAATGGGCTATGATTTTTACTTTAGCTGAATGCCAAGCATCTTGTCTGTGTTTATACTGCATTTCGGTTTGATAAAGATGAGTCATTAGGACAATGCTATAGAATTAGGTGTGGGCAAGACCACGATAAAAGACTGGGAGGAGTGGAAATTATGTAAATGTAGAAGGAGTTTGCGTGTATACTGGTACACCACTAGGTTCAAATTCTCACTCCACTTTAAACAATTGAACCTGGAAATGATGAATGCTGCAGCAGACTTATGCTCAAACAAAAGGCCTCGTGCCTCCACTGAGACTGGAGGATGGATATACATGTATATGGTTGAAGTATTAACTGACTGTTAGTCCCAATCATATCACAAAAGGGCTGCTAGATAGTGTGTTAAGTTCTGGGTGAGAAACAGGCAACATCACAGTCACCTGCATATAAATAGTAATCAAAGCCATGGGGATCAAGGTTTCTTAATTTGAGGCCTTCAGGGGATTCCTGATCCCCCTGAAACTGAATTTAACATGTTGTATGTGTATGTGCATTTTTCTCGGGAGTGAGAAGACAAAGCCTTGGAGGGACCCTATGGGACACCAGCATTCAAGGTCGGTACAGAAGAGGAGCCTGCAAAGGGCAACAAGTAGCCAGAGAAGATGGAGGAAGACCAGGCGCTCATGGTTTTCCAGAAGTCGAGGAAAATTTCAGCAGATGGGGTCTGGCATTGCCAGGGGCCATCCCTCCCAGTAGCTCTGCTCACCTCGGTAGCACCTCTTCATGTCAGGGCCCAGTCGCATTGTGTCAGGACAGGCACAAGTGTACTTGGGGGAGTGGCTGGACATCTGAGGAGCAGGAAGGCACAGGTACTCACAGCCTCCATTGGGCTGGGCACTCAGCTCGCAGGCATCTGCAGCTAATGGCACAGAGAGAGATGGGGAGAGAGAGTACTGGGGCACAGACGGGATGTGCCAGGCTCTCCCTCCCCCACGCACGAGGCCCTTCCCACTCGGCTAAATCAAAACGATTTCTCTACTACTTTTACTGGGCACCTTCCGTCACTGTACCTGCTGTTTTATCCCCACTCTTTCTTCCTTTTTTTTTTTTTAAACATCTTTGTTGGAGTATAATTGCTTTACAACGGTGTGTTAGTTTCTGCTTTATAACAAAGTGAATCAGCTATACATATACATATGTCCCCATATCTCCTCCCTCTTGCATCTCCCTCCCTCCAACCCTATCCCACCCCTCTAGGTGGTCACAAAGCACTGAGCTGATCTCCCTGTGCTATGCGGCTGCTTCCCACTAGCTATCTATTTTACACTTGGTAGTGTACATATGTCCATGCCACTCTCTCCCTTCGTCCCAGCTTACCCTTCCCCCTCCCCGTGTCCTCAAGTCCATTCCCACACTTTCATTTAATGCTGATGACAGCTCGGAGTGGGGTGTGTTATGCCCAGGTTAACAGATAAAAGACTGTGGCTCAAAGAGAACAAACTTGTCAAAGCTATACCTCTAGTAATTTTGGAGACAATTTAAATTGAGGTCTGTTGGACTCCAAAGTCCATGTTTTTTTCTCCCTATGCCACATGCCTTATCTCTTTCTTATTTAAATTTCTAATCTAGAATCAGGCACCAACCTTATCTCCTTACCCCTTTTTGCTTTCCCACCTTTACCCGTCCCATTACAGTTAGAATGAGTATATCCTAGTGACAGAGGAAGGGACAACCTAATTGCAGGATTCCTGGCGTCTGTTGCCAACCAGCAAGCTGACTTACTGACGGCCCTAGGATACGTTACTTTATACCACTGCAAAGTACGAACAAATAGCAAATGAGAAGCAATGTGCTCCCTTATGGCAGAAGGAGCTCTGGAATCAGACAGGCCTAAGTTTAGGCTTTAGCTCTACCACCTGCTAAGGTTATTTTACCCCTGTGAGCTACAGTTTCCTCAGCTGTTAAACGAGAACAGTGATATCCATACTTTGTAAGAATGGCAAAAATGGGACATTAGTATGTTTATTTATTTCTACCCAGCCTTAGTTCACCAAGAGCTTGAGGCAAAATGAAGTAAATATGTGACAGCAAGGCAGTCCACCAACGACAGGGACTGTTGCCGCTACTGGGGATGCCGAGACGTGACGTGCATGTGAATACAGCCTGCCTGCTAGAGGGAGAGGATGTGGGCAGGGGACCTGGGACTGGGCAAGGCTCACCTCGTGGCTGCTTCAGCTCATGGAAGATGACAATGTCATGTGGGTTATTGAGGTTCTCAGCTAGGACGGAGATTTCCAGGCCATTGAGCCGATTTGCACTGAAAATGGCCTCGTTCTCCAGGTCTGTCCAGAACACCTTGTCCTGTGGGGTACAAATACAGAGGATGGGAAGCCTAGAGCTTAAACCCATGACCTCAGCCTGAGGGCTCGGCCTCAAACCATAGTCACAAGAACTGCTCTGGCATCTCCCCTGAACTCTCTTGTCCACAGATTCACAGCTCTGGGGGACTCTCAGCTCTGATCTGTGGCATAGGCTCTGGTTCCCTTCTGTCTCAGAGGGTTATTCAGTGCTCTGGCCTGAAGGCTGCTCATTAACGCTGAGCTAGGCCTGCTTCCTGGAGTTCAGCAGAAACTGAGGTTGGGTCTCTGTAGCTGTTACCATTACTGGGGCCTGGGACCAAGATTGGAGAGGATGTATGATCTAGCAAGCACTATCCCTATGGGGCCTCCTACAGCCTCTGGGTATACACGCATACACATCCAATGGTTGGTCCACACAAGCCTAAATGCGTATCTGCAGGCGAATCCACATTTATAGGTACAACCGTGCAGCCTCATGTGCAGATCTAGACACATACCCACATGCTCATCTACACACCCGAAGGCACACTTGTGCCTAAAATGAACTTGTCTAAGCACTGGTGTGCATATGTACACTCACAAGCACTAGCACACACAGGAATGCACATTTTTAAACAGACGCATTTATGTATACACAGGCACGTACACATACATGCCACATGTACGTACAAGCACGAACACATGTGTCTGAACACACCTGTCTTTCGAAGCAGAGGCTGGACTTGGGAGCTGAAGCTTTGCCCACAATTTCAGAGCTGTGCTGGGTGATGTCACTCCAAGCAAATATTGCCAATGCCCACCACAGGCCACTGTCCCCTTGCTTTCCCTCCCCTTGGTGGAAGAGTTAGTTTTGGGGAAGAGGTATGGGTGTGTGAGAACTTGGTCGCTTCTGGCTTCCTCATTCCCCAAGGAGAAACGTTGTTAGGGTCAGAACACAGGAGGGTCTTGACTCTTCACCCTCCTGTGAGCTTCTTGAGGACGGGGATGATGTCTGATTCACTTCTATGACCCCAGGGTCCAGCAAAGGTCAGTGAGAGTGTGCTGAATTGAATAGCATCTCTCAGGCCATTTCCATAGTAAATAATACTAAGGAAATGCGTATTCCTTTTCCCTTTCTTTATTGGGTACCTTCTGTATACGTGGGTACAGTGCTGGGTGCCGAGGGTACCTGGTCTAGCTACTTACCTGTGGGAAGTGCTCTGAGGGAGGGGCCTTGGGGAGGAAGCACAGGAAAGGCTGCCAGGTGGACAAGGGGCTGCATAGCCTCTGTCTGAAGACAGCTCACGTATTATGTACAAACAAGCCAGTCAGCTTCCCTGTCCCTTTGTTTCCACTTGGACGAGTCTCAGGGAGTCATCCTATTTGAACAGCCTTTCCTAGGCTTCAGCTTCCTGATGGGGCCATGCCTCCCCTCACGGAGCTCACCTCAAACACAGCTATCCCGAAAGGGTGGCTCAGGTAGTCAGGGGAGGAAATCAGCATCTTCCTGTTGCCTCCGCTGAAGTCAATGCTGGACAGCTGGTGCAGCTTGGAGTCCACCCAGTACAAGCGCTGGTTCAGCAAATCTTGAGCAGGAAAAAGGGACAAGGGGATCGGGTTGTGAGCCTGGGACCACAGCCTGGAATTCTGCTCCTCTGTGGCCCTTCCCTGCCCACATCTCCAGGCCAGGCCTCAGAAGGAGGCCAGCCCAGGGCAACCATCAGGAAACACAGGCAGTGGCACTATAAGGGGACACAGCAACAAGACCCACGGAGCCCCAGGCAGTGGTCAGCTCCAGGCGCTAGAACAGGCCCCCCAGTGGGGGAAGGCAGGGCTCACCCAGGGTGATTCCGTTGGGCCACTCAATACCATCTGACACCAGTGTCTGCCGGTGCACACCGTTGAGCCCAGACTTCTCGATCTTAGCCTCGTACCCCCAGTCAGACCAATACACGAACCTAGGAGACAGAAGAACCCAATGGGCTTCTTGTCAGGGAACATGACTGGGGTGGTGTGGGTCACAAGGGCTCAGTGGCCCTCTGAATATTGAAGATTACGCTTAGTGAGGACTGGAAAGACCTCTGAAGTTCACGGGAGCCATCAAACCTTAGCACTGGCAGGCGTGTCGGTCTTTGCCTTATCTGAGTCTCTGGAGAAGCCTGTATTTCCAGAGTCCACCTGACCTCAGCTGAACAGCCTGTCAGCCCATCTGTCCCACCCCAGCAGCTCCAGCTACAGCCCTAGCGTGCCAGAGCAGGAAGGGAAGGGCCCCGTCAACCCTCTTACTTTCCTGGTTGACAGAGGAGAAAGCCGATGACTTAGCCAGGGTCACACAGCTAGAACTCTGTCCAGGGCTTCTCTCTCTTTTTTCTTGAACATTTATTGAGTACTTACTAGGTGAGTGGCCTCATCTCATGTACTTACAAATGCAGTAATCACTGCCCCTCTAATCCAATCCCTACAGAGCAGACAAAATGAGCTTCTAAAAATGGAAATAAGCTGTCATTATCCTGCTTTTTGAAATTGAGATATAATTGACATATGACACTAGTTTCAGGGGTACAACATAATGATTTGATATTGCAAAATGAGCACCACAAGAAGTTAGTCAACATCCAGCACCCCACAGAGCTACAATGTTTTTTTCTTGTGATAACTTTTAAGATCTATTACTCTCCAGTTTTTAAACTTTATGATGGTTTCTCCTACTGACCTTAAAATCAGATCCCAAATCCTTACCATATCCGACAGGGCTCTGCATGACTAGGTCCCTGCCTACCTCTCTGGCTGTCTCTCCTGCCACCACTGCCCACTTCCCTTACAAACTCCACACCCGCCGCCAGGGCTTCTCTTAGATCCCTCAGGGCACCAAGGCCTTCACAGAGCCTTTGCCCCCACTTGTGTGCCATTTAGAACGTCTTTTCAGTAGAGAACCTTCCTCCGACCCTCAATGTAAATAGGTTCTCCCTGTTATTGACTCTTAAAACGCCCTGTTTTTTCCCTCCAGAGCGCTCACACCGTCGGTTATTTACGTGTGCATTCGGTATGTGGCCTATCTGTTTACTGTCTGTTTTCCCCACTAGTCTATATGCTCCGCTGAGGGCAGGCGCCTCATCTGCCTTACTCCTCATTTTGTACCTGGCAGGTAGCTCGTGTGTGGCCTATAGGCCTTATTTACTATTTGTTGAACGAAGTAGCCTCACAATTACCCCAGGAGGGTGTAATTATTAGTCCAATTTTACAGAGGAGTAAACTGTGGCTCAGAGAGGCTGACTTCCCTAAGATCACGTGGTGAATAAGTAGTAAGGCCAGGCTTCAAATTTAAGTTCAAATTAAGTTGGGCTCTAAAGCCCGTGTGCTTAACCCTCCCCAAAATGCCTCTGCTGAAAGCTGGTGTCAAGCCAAGGCTGGCTCCAGGCTGGGGGGCTGCGTGGTTGTTCTGGATCCCTTCCATTTGCCACTTCGAATCCCATGGCCATTCTGCTCTGTATACCAAAAGGCTGGCGCATGTGGGAACATCATTGGGCTGGGCTCCCTAGCCGTCTGGCTTCCAGTTGTATTCAGCAAAATATCGGAGGGAGAAGGGGAGAGACTGAGGTCAGGATGTCTATTCCCCTAACTCCCCCCTACAGAGGTGCCTCCAGCTGGCTAATGCCCTAAAGGTGACCCTCTCTACCCAGCTCTTTCCCTCCCAACTCGGGTAACCCTCCCTGCTCCTGCCCCTCAGGCCTGTTACCTGTTACTAGTCCAGGATAGTGCATGAGACCTTACCCGCTCCTTTGTCAATAGTCCCTTTATTAACCGGCCTTAAATTATCTTAAAATGAGTGTGCAGTGGGTTTTCTGGCGGGACCCTGACCGAGCCACAATGGACCAGGAATGGGCTGGGTGTAACTATATGGTTTGGGGGACATGGCAGGTGCAGCCCCAGGTCTGTGTGACAGCAGACAGAGAACAGGGTTGAGGTGGGGGTTAAAGGAGATGACAGTTGTCTGCAGAGGGCCTGGATGCACCTGTGCAAAGCGGCAGCTGTCCGCCACTGCCCAAGGCCACGCACAAAGGCCACGCACACCCTCTCAGGTGGCCAGCCTCACCCCCAGCTGCCCTCACTGGAAGAAGAGGCTTTTCTTATCCCTGCTTAACAATTAAGGAAACAGCAGCAGGAAGAAGCTGGTGATCCTGGTAAACATAATATGATGCAGCTGCTTAAAAACCATGCCATCTCAGGACATCCCCACTGAGGGAGGCAGGGAGGGAGGGAGTCGTGCTCTGTTCAGAATCCCTACCCCTGATATGGAGGCATGGGCAGAGCAGGGCAGCCTGGGTGGTGAGGGGCCCAGAGGCTGTGGACCACAGGGATGGGGATGGAGGCGGGTAGGCTGGAGCAGAGCTGACCCAGTAATCTCAGTCCTCAAATCTTGCTGGCTGTCCTGCAGGGCAGGGAGTAGACATGCTAGAGGTAACTCCGGAGGCCAATGGAGGAAGTTGAAGAGAGGCAGATGTGGGAACATGAGAACGAAACAAACAAAAGAATACTTTCTAATGGGCAGAGCTGCCCCAAAATGAAACAGGCCGTATGAGAAGTGACAAGCTCCTGTCTCTGGAAGTGCGAGCAGTCGCCAGATGCCCACCTGCAGCGCGCAGCAGCCTGAGGGAAGACTTCCTGCCCCAGGAGCGTCTACCAGGCAATTTCTAGCGCCCTACCCGGCTCTGAGATGCTCTGCTTCTATGATATGGTGAGAGAGTAGCAGAGTCCTAGGAGCACCCTGGCGACCAGTGCGCAAGGGACCCTGGGTCAGGGGTTCACAGGCTGAGGGGCCCACACGGACTTTCTTCCCTGTGGCTTGTGTCTGGGTGGCCCAGGGCCTTCCGAAGCCCTCAAGGCAGCTCTTGTGACAGACACATGAGGACTGAGCGCCTGGGGCAATTTGGGGGTGGGAACACTCACCCTCGCAGGGGGTCGACAGCAATGGCCCGGGGTTCACTGAGGTCACGGCTGAAGAGAGTGCAGCGGCGTCCGCCATCAACTGTGGCCACTGAGATGGTCTTGTTGCCTGAGTCGGTCCAGTAGATGTGCTTGTGGACCCAGTCCACTGCCAGGCCCTCCGGAGAGTGCAGCTGCTCATCAATGAGGACCTCCTGCTCCGCCGGGTCGCTGGCTTTGTCCATGTAGGCGCTAGGAGCAACCAGGGCTGGCGTGGGCAGGTGTGCCACCCCCGGGCCCATCTGGAGCTGCCCTTCCCCTCTCTCTTCCCTCTGGGTCACAGCAGCGCATTGGAGAGGAACTTGGCTCATTTCTACTCAACACATTCCCTGGGCCACCAGGGTAAGGATACAGGCTCAAGTCAGCCACGGTCTCTGGCCTGGAGGAGCTCAGTTTAGTAGGGACAGAAATTTACAGCCAGATAATTACACCAAGACACTGTGATTACAGAAAGTATCAGAGGCTATAGCGGCAGAGTAATGGAGACTACATCATCCTGGAGGGCTGGAGAAGGCCTTGTAGTTGAGCCCTGAAGGCCCAGTCTGTCAGGAGCACAAAGAACAAAGGCAGAGGGAACAGCATGTGCAGATGCCGAGGCGTGTGCTCTGGAACAGTGACGGATCCAGTGGGGGTGGAGTGGGGTATGTGGGGTGTAAGACAGGAAGTAAGTGTAGGCAGGGGCCACATCCTGACAGGCTCTGTGTGCCACGCTAAAGGCTCAGGATTTCACTGTGGAGGGGTAACTGAACAGGTCGGAGGACATGGCCAGAGAGGCATGTTAGATCACTGTGGCACCTGCAGAATACGCGAGGAATTGGAGGAGGAGGGAATGAAGGCAGAGAGACCAGTTAGGAGGCTGTGACCGCACCCAGGTGAGAGACGAAGAGGGTGTGCAGAAGGGCTGAGGCAGTAAGAATGGACAGAAGGGGCCACAGTACAGCAGACACTCAGGAGGCAAAATTAGCAGGGCTTTCTCTCTCCCAAATGCTTTATTTCCCAAGGTTTTCTTCTCCACTTACCCTCTCTTCGGGTGATTAGTTCCACAGTGCCCACAGCCATCCACAGCTCTGACCCTCTGATCCTGACAACTGTCTAAGTTCCAGACTATAAAGCCAACTGGCCCCCGTCGGACGTCCCTTGGACACCTTGAACTCAACACATCCCAAACTGTTCATCCCCATTCCCCTCCTCTCAGCCACACAGACAGACTGCCTACCCCCCACCCGAAACTCCTCCCCTGCTTCCATCTCAGAGAACGGTACCACCGTCCATGAAACCTCCCAAGCCGGAAACTGAAACTCCCAAAGTGAACCTGGGAATTCATTCTGACTCATCCTCCCACAGCTCCATAACCAGGGCATCATCAAATCCTGCCTCTTTCCGTCACAACCATCGGACAGGCACTGCTCAAGCTGTTTCTGGGTGTGCGACTGTGAGTGTGTCTGTGTGTGCTGGGGTGTGATAAGCATCGAGTTGTCGGTGAGCAGCACGCGGACTGCTTCCATCCATCCATCCACCATTCGTTCAACAGTCCGCCCAGTGCCTGATCATCGGCAGTCCTGCCAAGTGGATCTCAGGACAAAGAAAGGGGGCCTGGGCACGCAGAGGCTCCTAGGAGAGAACCTCCTGCGTGTGCAAGGAGCCTTCCCAAGCGCCAGAGTCCACTGACTGTGCTGGGAAGGGCTGGACTGCAGGTAGTGCCACCCTTGACCGCCAGATTGGGTCAGAGGCCTCCTCTATACTTTTCCCTAATGCTCATCACAGTGGATTTCGCTATGCTCTGAGTGGGATCTTCCAGGCAGGACCAGGTCTGAGTCATCTTTGAGTCCCCAGCATCCAACACACATATATGTGAGCTGCTCTGAAAATTCCTACCAAAGCCCAGAGGCTTCTTCCTTTCCGCCCTGGCTGAACATTTCCTGTGTCTCGCACTGCCCGCTCAGGCCACCGGAGGTCAGTCAAAGCCCCCATGTGTGGGGCTCAAAGCTGCTTGCCCATCCAAGCCCTCAGCACCCCCCGGAAGGCCCAGCAGGTGGAGAAGTCCTGGCAGTTCCACAACCGCTGTGATCCCCCGTGCCTTCCTAAGCCCGATCTCTGTCCTGGGGAAATATAGAGGCAGAAGGGGTGCAGAGGCCACCCTTCCTCTCCTTCTTTGTTGGCCCCAGCCCCGCCCCCCAGGCCTGGTTGCAGGACCCAGGCCTCGACTCACCTGTAGATCTTGCGGTAGGAGAGGTCACACCAGTAGATGCGATTGGTGGCAACTTCGACGTCCAGCGCCACGACATTCTTGAGCATGGGGATGAGACGCGAGTAGTCCCGCTTCACCAGGTCTATCCTCCGCACTTCGTGCCGGTTGGTGAAGATTAGGGACGGGCTTCTGCCAGCTGCCATGCAGGGGGGTTGAGAGGGAAAGGGTCAGTGCAAGAGGCGGGGGATCTGGAGACCAAGGCTCTGCCACTGGTTTGCTGGGGGACTCCTCATTTCCTGTAAAAAGTGGCGACGACTCCTACCTCACAGGTTAAAGAAGCAGGTGAAATGATGGCTACAAAAAGCATAAGATGCAAAGCCCCATGCATAACAGAGTGATTTTTATTCTTTTTATCGCGCACAAACTCCCCCCAAATCTTTGATGACTCCCCATTTCCTCTGGCCTGCACGGAAGGCCTTCTGCAGCATGACCCCAGCTCCCTGTCCAGCCTCATCACTCACCCCCCTGACACCTTGATTCCGGCCACCAGACTACCTGTCATCACCTTGCCACGGCAGAGCTTTGCTGCCTCGGGGCCTTTGCTCAAGCTGTCCCTCTACCTAGAATGCATGTCTCCCCAGCAGCTGCCACCTCCTCTGCTTGGGCCCCACTGCAGTGTTCAAGAAGGGGCAACATGAGCGTCAAATGATTTAGAAAGATGACTGAGGCTGCAGCATGGAGCACAGCCCTCAGGGCTGGGGGTGGGACTCGAGGGAGGAGGTTCAAGGAGGTCGTTGTGAGACTTTAGTTTATACAGAGTGTACTGGCATGAGACGAATCTGCAGATGCTGGAAGGGACCAGATCACAAAGGATCCTGTGATCCAGGGAGAGAGTTTTCACTTTATTCTGAGCCAAAGGCAGGGGTGGGATGTGTATAATATGACACAGACTATATACGTGCAAAGGGACAACACACAACCTCCCATGTATACACAAACCCATTTTTAGATTTAGGATTAGATTTTGGGAAGATCTTCAGTGAGCTAGACATTCCTGGCTACTCCATGGGGAGGGTCACTGTCCCCCAGGCCTATGAGGGCCTAGCACTTCGCACAGGCCGCCACCCCTCCAGCCTGTTTTCAGATGGAGCGGACCACTCTCAGGCACCTGCAATACTGAATGGCAACACCTGCCCCTGTACCTTCTCCCCCTCTTGTTTTCCAGCTGACACTTCTGCAGGCCACCTGGTTCCTGTCACTGTCCATCGGTGCCAGGCTAATGTGCTCCCTGGGGACAGGGTAGGACCAGCACAGAGCCAGGTGGGGCCTGGGGCTGGGTGTGTGACCTGTGTGTAGTGATGGAGATTATTTCAAAGCAGGGTTGGCGTGACAGTGAAGGTGTGGGACAAACAGATACCATGGAAAACTAGAGGTCTAAGCGCAAGGAGAAAGGAGGAAAGCTGGATGCAAGGCCCAGCTCCGCCACTGACCAACTGTGATTTTCCTCACCTCAAAATGAGAGCAAAGACACTTCATCTTCCTGAGGGCAGGAGCTGGGTTACAGGGTACCTTGAGGTGATTTTTACTGAGAGCTGTGACTGTGACAGGAACCCTGTGTGTTTATGATTTGAGTTTTTGAGTAACTGCACTTTAGATATTCACACATAAGGGTTTGTGTATACATGGGCCATTGTATGTTGTCTCCACTGCACGTATGTAATCCCAGTTCTGTGTCACACCTGTCCCATGTGGGGGTAAGAACAGGTTGCATGTTACATGTGATGGGCTAATGTATGTGCTGTACATTGTGCAGTTTGGGTGGTATGTGTTTTGGGTTTACGGGCTACATGTCAATTATTGTAGCTGCTGTGTTGTTATAACCTATAGAATGAGTATTCGTGCATCTGAATCCCAGGTTCGTATATCCAACAGCCTACACAATACTTTGCTAGATGTCTAAACCGTTTTGTTAAATTTAGCATGTCCAGATCAATCTAATATTCTCCCAAACCTGCTTTTCTCACCGTCTTTCCCAACTCCATAAATAGCAATCCTATTTTTCCAGTTAGTTCGTCAAAAACCTTGGGGTCATCTTTGACTCCTTTTTTTCCTTTCACATCCTACATTTAATTCATAAGCAAATCCTGCTGCTTCAAAATAAATCCTGACCTTCAAAATATATTCATACTGTCCACTTCTCATTATTCCCACGCAAGGCCCTGATCCAAGCCACCATCACCTCTCTCCTGGCTGACGGCAAGGACCTCTGCAGCAGCTCCCCTGCTTCCTCCCCTGCCCCCGACAGTCTATTCCCAACACAGCCTACAGAGGAAGTCAGTTAAAATGTAAGGCACACCCTGTCCCTCTACTCTGAAGCCACAAAGGCTTTCTTCCCCGACTGACAGTGAAACCGAGAGTCAGCCCTTAGAATGGTCTCGAAGGCCTTTGTGATCTGCCCCCAAGTCACCTCTTGGACTTCATCTCCTCCTATGCCCTGGTTGCCCTGGCTGCCCTGGCTTCCTCGTTCTTATCTGAACACAGCAGGCATGCTGCTGCCTTCGGCTCCTGCAGGTGATGCATGGCTCACTCCTTCATCTCCTTCAGGCCTTTATTCAAATGTCACCTTCTCAGTGAGGGCTTTCCTGACCACTCTATCGAAAACTATAACTTCTCTACTTTATATTTCTCCTGAACCCTCATCACCATCTGCCATGCACTGTATTTATTTTTCTGATTTCTTGTCTGTCTCACCAACTAGAGTGTAAGTCCCATGAGGACAGACAGGGATTCACGTCTGTTTTGCTTACTGCTGAATCCCTAGTGCCTACAACAATGTTAGGTGTCCAGTGTAAAGAACTGAATAAAATAAGTGAATTCCGTTGGCTGACGTGACGATCAACGTTAGGTCTGCACATGGCCTGCTCTTTGTGTGGGCTGCCCGTGCCGTGTGTAGCCAGCACGGTCCAGCCTGTGTCTGGCACTGTGTGTCGTGCGAGTGCAGACTCTGTGGGCTGTACCAGGTGGCGCTGTGCAGCGTCTGCGTGGGTGTACATGCACAGTGCATCGTGTGTGTGCTGAATATTTACACTCTGAGCACCGTGTGTGCAACCTGCCATCTGTGTGTGTACACGCAGGTGTGCACACCCGCTCCTCACGTATGGGAAGCACACTGCTTCCTGGACTCCCTCAGAGCTGCTCCCCTGCCCCACCCCCCCCCACCTTGCAGTGTCCATACCGACGGCCTTGCAGTTCTTGGTCAGGGTGTCCATCTCGTAGCCAGGGTGGCACTCGCACTTAAAGTAGCCTTTGTAATTGACACAGATCTGGCTGCAGGCATCTGGGTCCTCACACTCGTCAATGTCTGTGGGGGGGAGCAGAGGTCAGCACTGGCCGGAGGAGCCGCCTCCTTGAGGGGCTCGGGGAGGGGCTCACCACCACAGGTCTTCTGGTCCAGGAGCCGGTAGCCCGATGGGCACGTGCACTCAAAGCCGATCTTGAGGTCGGTGCAGATGTGGGAACAGCCGCCATTGTTGTGCAGACACTCGTTCAGCCCTGGGGAGGGACGTGGGCTCCTGAGGGTCCAGGAGCTCAGATTGGGGTGGGGGCAGGACAGGGATGTGCCTAGAGCTGAAACAGAGACCCGGGGCAGCGAGCTTCCCCCAGAGCCTCACTGAGCCTCAGCCTCATTAGCCAGGTGACTGGGCAAGAGGAGGCTCAGAGAGGGCCGGGTCGCATAGACAGGACAGAGTGGAACCAGAACTCGGGTCCTTTGCCTCCCAGGCCAGGGCTCTGTCCACCACCAGGCTGAAGGCAGCTAGGCTGCCTAAGGTCTTTCCTTTCACAAACACGTTTCTTATGGCTCCTCCTTCCTTGTGACCTCAGAGTTGAAGGTGCCTGCAGGTACCACGTCCAACCCTCAGGGACCCCAAAAATCCCTTCCGAAATGCCCTCGCTTAAACACCCCCAGCCTCGGGAAGCCTGCTTTCCTCCTGAGGCAGCTGGCTCTGTGTGGGGTTGACCAGAGTCCAATGGCTCCCCCAGAATCTCCTTAAAGCGCCGATTCCTGGTCCCCCGCCATTCAAGTGCCTTTCTCTGCCTGCACTCCATCTGTCTGTGTCCTTCTCCCGCACGGCCCAGAGCTAGTCTGCCACCCAGAGGAGTCTGAACGACAAGGGCTGCCCGCTACTGAGCTTGTGGTTATCTAAGACTGCCAGGCCTCTTTCTCCACGGAGCTGCTGCTAAGTCAGTTCTCTCCCACCATGAACTATGGTGGATTTTTTCACCTCCTCTCATTTCAGCACCTGTCCCTATTCCTACACTTAGTCACAGGCCTGGTCCCAATATTACCAACTGCAGCAAGGGATGAAGGGATGCCAGGAGGTCATCTGGTTCCCCCGTCCTCCACTCCCTTACCACCTCCTGGCAGGGTCCTAGCGGAGGTCAGGGAGGCCAGGACCAAGGCTCAGCAAGTTCTCACAGCATCTTTGGGCTTTAGAACCACAGAGGGTTAATTCTGCCAGCCAGGGAAGGTGCCGTGCCACCCTCTGCCCATCAGGCCCACGTCCCACCACTCCAGCCAAGCCAGGCAGAGCTGTGCCCGGCCAGCCAGGGCCATGCACACAGCTGGTCTGAGCTGCCCACCCCAGGCCATGCACAGCTGTGGTGCCCCACCTCCAGCCTGAGCCATGCTTAGGGAATGCTCCTCTTTACCCCTGGGCCGCCTCCTGTTTCTCTGGGATGTTGGCAGAACTGAAAGAAGAAGACCATAGCAACCCCATGACTCGGGGGCCGGGGGATGACTCAGCCAGGCCCAGCCCTGGGAAGCCCCAGCCCCTCGGGGTGGGCTGAGCTGTGGTAGCTTTGCAGTGGTCTCTGTAGGGTACCACCTCCAGGACTCTTTCTGTCACTCCAAGCCCTCCTTGACTTCTCCCACACCACACTATTCCCTCCCATCCATTCATTTGTTCACCAGTTCACTCACTTCCTACCCCGCCTTCTGCAGGGGCAGCAGCTCAACCATTGTATTTACCGACCACTGGGTGGAGGGGCATGTGTAGGATGGCTCTGCAAGGGGAAAGGGGAGAGCCCCACGTGACTCAGGCTTCGATGAAAGACCAAGGAACTGAGTCCTCCAGGGCTGAGGTGAGTCGGGGTCAGAGAATGGGTAGCGGGTCCCGAGCTGTCTACCTCCGTCAACCCTTCCCTGGAAGACCAGTGCTGAGGCAGAGGCTGAGGGGAGTCTCCGGGCCTTCCCAATTCTACCTACCCTGGAGGTGATTCTGCTGGGGGGCCTGCAGGGTGGGGAGAGGGGAAGGTGGCCCAGAGAGGCCTGAGGAGCATTTGAGGTCCCCTGTTGAAGGAAGGGGCAGTGCCCTTCTCCCAGCACGCACGCCCACCTGCATGCCCACACCTGCATGCACACACACACCAGCTTACGTGCACAGGCAGGCACATTCACACAGACGTGGGAGCCGCACAGAGATACGTGATGCAATTCCCTTGCCTTCCTCAGAGAAGGAGCCATGGGTACAGACACTGGCCTCTCACCAGCACAGAGACACAAACACATGCGTACATACGTCTCTTTGGTGTGTCATGCAAAAGACAAGAGAGAAGAGAGTTTAGCAGGTTAGTAGTCTGTGGGTGGGGGGCGGTGGCTAGGCTCAGCTGCTCCTGCTTCCTTATCCTCTTTTCCATAACTTCCTTCTTCTGGGACTTTCCATGGCAGGGCCTGGGGGGAGTCTGTCACCTGCAAGCTCAGGTGGAGGCCGAGGGACCTTCACCCAGCTACTCCTCCTTCCGAAATCAATTTCTTAATCTTCAGTAGGGGCAGAAACGTGCTATTCCAGGGAGCTCCAGGGGATGAAGCTCCTCTGAGGGCTCAGGAGGGGAGGTACTGGGTGGAAAAGGGTCTGCCAGGAGGGTAGGGGAGGGAGGGTCTGACCTAGGCTCTGTCCCTCAAGAAATCCTCTGTCCCCTGACCTCAGAAATGAACCTTCCTGGAGCCCACGCTGGGTTTCCTGTGTGCTCTCTAGGATGCCCGCCCACCTACGGTCCAGACTCTCCTGTTCTTTTTAGCCTGGAACCTACCCCTACAGCTCTGGCCGTCAGGACAGCCGCCTCTTTCCACTCCTAACTCGTGTCCAGCCCGTGAGTCTGGTCTCCCAGAAAGCTTCTCAGGATGGTGCTACCCTCTGCTGCTGGCTCTGCCCTATGCTCACCCGGGCCTGGCCTGAGCCCAGTGGCCTCCAGATGTGCCTCGTCTGCCCACCCGCCTGCTGTTCCCCACCTCTTCCTCTGCAGGGTCTCCTGCAGGGGGCTGGAAGGCCTCAGAGGCCAGCGCCCTGGCTAGGTCGGCAGGGCAAAAATAATGAGGAAGAGAGAAACTTCAGAGTGAGCACACACTCAGAGGTCTGAACGTGGAAGAAGTGAGGAGAGGCTGCATTTGTGAGAGGAAGCATAATTTCTGAGCATCTGGAAAGGAAAGGCCCTTTGATTTGCAGAGTAGCAGAACAAGAGGCCCCAAAGGCAAAGAGCCCCGTCTGAGACCATGGGACAGCGCACGAGTCCAGAGACAGGGTCAGATCAGAATGTGTGCAGAGGGGCAGTCGAGGGCTGGGGCCAGGAGGGGGCGTGGCAGGGAGGGTTAGTCCAGCAGCGGGGCGGAGAGAGGTACTGTACCACACTCTTTCAGAGGCTCATCTGACCAGTCCCGGCAGTCCCTCTGAGCATCACACACTTTCCCGCCGTCCACGCACTCGCCACTCTTACACTGAAATCTGCGGGGACCCTCACATGTTGACTCTGTCGGGCCGGACAAGAGAGTGGACAGCACTGGTGAGACCTTGGGCAGGGAGGGCTGGGGTGGGCTGGGCCCATGGGAGGTGAGAAGAGCTCCAGCCCCAGTCCCTGCTGGTCTCCAGAAAGTGACCCAGGACAGACAGCTGAATACAGGGCCAGAGGGAGCTCTGCTCACAGAAGGACAGGACCCCAGGGATAATCGGGATACCCAAGCATCATCTAGGAGGGCAGGGCATGGGGCTCTGCGTCTGATCTGTCAGTATTAGGGAACTTGGAGGGAAAAGCAGCAGCTCTACAGAGACCCTGGCAGATGCACTGACCATCTCCTGAGGGGGACCTATGCTCCAAGTGCCCTAGGTAGAGGAGGCCACGTCACTGCCCAATCGCTGATCCATTTCTCCAGATGACCACTGGGTCCGGGTCCCTGCTGCTGCTGCAGGGTGATGACCGCAGAGCCATCTGAGAATTAAGTGGTCTCCCTGGGAAGTGGGACTCAGCCTCTGCTCAGTCTGGGAACGAGTGAGAGAGGCTGCTTAGAGGCGTAGATGTGGACCAATGATGGGGGCTGGACTTCCTGCAGTGCCTTCACGTCCCCTCCCCCTAGGCCTCTTTCAGCTTTTGCAAAGTCCTTAAAAATCCAGGTCTAGTGCCACTAGGACCCCAGGAAGGGGATCTGGGTGGTTTAGGGGCAAGTAATGCTCTGAGGGAAGATGCATCTTAGGGACCAAGGGGTGATGTCTCCCTCGCTGCTCTCTACGGAGCCGGGGGGAGGAGCTCAGGCATTCGCCTCAGAGGATGCTGCCCCTTTGCTGCTGACCACACGCACCCTGCAGGCAGCCAGCTTCATCACTCCTGTCTGGACAGTCCTGTTCCTGGTTGCAGCGCTTGATGGCAGGGACACAAGTCCCATCCCCACACCGGAACTCGTCTCCACGGCAGGTGCCCAGCGCTGCCAGGAGAGGGGAAGGGGAGAGAGTCAGGGCCATTGTGGTGCGGGGACAGCTCTCTTCCCCCAACCTCCACCCTCACCCCCACTCCGTATCCACCCCTGGCAAAACCAGAACCGGTCGCTGAGCTTGGGAGTCTTCGGAGGACACCTGGCCAAGGCACAAAACGGGAAGACTGAAGCTCAGAGAGGGGGAAGGCCTCACCCAGGGTCACACAGCACTCTAGCTGGCAAAGGCAGGACTACAACTCAGGTCTCCTGTTTCCCACTCCACCGTCTCTCCCCAGGGCCACCCCTCCAAACAGACACGTGGTCTTCTTTGGAGTCTCCGTGCTCATTACTTAACGACCTCATCCCTTCAGCAAACCCTTCCTGAGCGCCCAGTGTGTGTGCGGTGCTGTGCAGGGGTGGGGAACACAGAGATTACTAAGAGACTCCCCATCCTCTAGGAGCTCACAGTGGGGCTGAGGGGCGAGCAACGAGGGCATCACAGTGTGGATGTGCTGTAAGAGAGGGTGCCAGGGACCTGCAGCAGCTCAGGGGAGAGACGCAGCCCAGCTGGGTCCATCAGAGGAACCTGGGCAAGGCCTTGAAGGATGAGCAGGCCCAGCAGGTAGGCAGGGTGGGGGGCTTCCTGAGTGTACCAAGGTGTCTGGCATTGGAACCACTGGTGACTGCTTGGGACAGGGAAGGGCAGAGATGGGAGGTATGGGGGTGGGGGGGAGCGTTACTGAAGGTCACAGGTACCTGTGAAGACCCTGAGCTCCGCAGCTTAGCAGCCACGTGGCCTCACACAAGTCACTTCACTTTTCCCAAGTCCTGCTGCCACCGTTAAAACATTACTAGGATCAGAGTAGGGCGAGGAGACGCGGCCCCTCGGCGGACAGTCGCGCACCCGCGGCTCTGGGCGATACGGAGGGGAGGTGGCTTACGGCAGTCGGCCTCGTCCGACTTGTCCTTGCAGTCGCGGTCGCCGTCGCATCGCCAGCCCAGGTGCACGCACTCGCCGCTGCGGCAGGCGAACTGGGCGGCAGCGGCGCAGGTGGCGGGCGCGGACGTGGCCCTGGGGCCCGCGCGGCCGCAGAGCTCGGCCGCCTCGTCCGAGCGGTCCTCGCAGTCGAACTGGCGGTCACAGACCCAGCGCTCGGGGATGCAGGCGCCGCCTTCGCCGCCGCAGCGGAACTCGCGGGGCCCGCAGGCCGGGTCGGCGCAGCCACGCTCGTCGCTGCCGTCGCCACAGTCGTCGTCGCCGTCGCACACGAACACGGCGGCCAGGCAAGAGCGGTTGCTGCACTGGAACTCGTGCGGGGCGCACACTGCGCGGGACAGAGAGCCGGTCGGCCCGCCGGACCCCATCCCATCCCCGGTGCCCCGGCCCGCTGGTCCCGCTACAGGGGCCCTGACCCTCACCCGCGGGCCAGAATGAGCCCGGCTGGGAGGCCGAACAGGGGACAGCAAAGGGGGCCTCCAATCCGGGTCCTGCCAGGGTCATGCTGGATGACCTGGGGCAGCACACTTGCCACCCTGAACCTCCCCAGCCTCGTTGGGAGTAGGAATTCCTGTGCTGCTCCCAGCAGGATGGTGGGACTAGGAGAGTCTCTAAAGCTGCAGAACACGCCCTGTCTTGAAGGGCTTTGTGATGTTCTCAGGAAATGATATGTAACATGACACTGACCCTTCCAGGAAACAAGGTCTGGACCTGCTTCTTTACAACACAGCTCAGGTCCCTCCCCGTCCCCAGTTTGTCCAGAACTATCCTAAGTCCCTGGGCTTAGCATCCAAGGCCACTGGCACGGAGCTACTGCTCTGCCCCATCACCTCACTCCCGCACATGCTCCGGCTTCACGTCGCACACTGGACCATTTGTACACTTTCCCACCTCCCGGCCTTTGCCCAAGCTGCCCCATCTGCTGGGCGCCCATCTCTTGCCCGCCACTGTCTCTGTATTTCACAATGATGAGTTCGCATCCTTCAAGGGCCCAAATTCTACCTCTTTCATAACACACTTCATGCTCCCCTGCTTGGCAAGTTTCCACCCACCTCCACTCTCCTTTCTGGTACCCTTCACAGCCTGCTCAGGTGTCTGGGTCTTGTGTCCTTCTCTGTCTGCCCCGTGACCACAAACTGCACGGGGGTGGGCTCTGAGACTGATCCACTTTTGTTCTGAAGGCCCGGCACAGAGGAGCTCCCTGCAGTGAGTGGGTGTGGTGTGGATGGAGGCTGGAGCGGCCCTGGTGTGAGGAGTAATTTAGGGATGTGCAGTAGTTAAGGGCACAGGTCACTGGCCCTGCCTGGGGCCCTGGGCTTCCCCTCTCTGGTGGGCTGCTCTGAGCTCAGAGGCTGGGGGAGCCTTAGTGACCACCAGCCCAGCTACCAGTTTACAGATGGGGAAACTGAGGCCCAGAGAGAGGAGCAATTTGCCCAGGGTCACACAGTCAGTCCATGGTGATGAGGGAACCAGAACTCAGGTTTGGGGCTCTTACTTCCTACTCTAACTCATCTCGGCTTTCTGGTTTTCCTCCCATCCTGGAGTGTAGGCTGTTTCTAGAGCAGCGACCTGGCCTCCTTCCCTCCTTCATTCCTTACACAGAGGCCAAGAACAGGCCTGGGGGCCCAGGCAGGGTGTGGATGCAGGAGCTGTGGCCACAGGTAACTCGGTGGTGGCAGCACCAGATATCTCCACGTGGGGGCGCCAAGAGCCTGTGTTTTTATTTTCCGGTGGGAAAAAGTCCTTTCTCATCGTTAGGGAACATAAAAGAGAACGATGTCTTCAGTTTCACCATGTAGGGCAGCTCGTGTCATGTGTTGCTGACAGCGCTACCAAGTTTCTGACAGATGCATTTTTTTTCCCTTTCTGGGCTTTTGGGATGTTGGGGCATTGGTGGGAAAAGCACACCCTACCCTGTGATGTCTGCCCCTCAAGATTAAGCTGATGCCTAGGTTAGCTCCCCTCCTTCCTGTCCAGACAGGGAGGGAGGACTCATTACGATCAGAGTTCTGAGAAGACGTGCTGTCTTTATCCTGAGTTCGCTCCAAGGTTTGGAAGCTGACAGCACCTTGAAGATCTACATCCTCAGGCCTGTGCCCAGAGACCCCCCTCGCCCAGCATTCACGAATGGAAGAAGCTCTGAGGGATGAGAGAAGGGAGAATTCTTTTTGTTTCCCCCGGTGGTTGGGGAGCTGAAGCAGAGAAGCCCCACAGGCCCTTCGAACACCACTATCTCCTATAATTAACAGGAAACAGTCCTGCCACAACATGCCCTCGTTAGAGCTATTCCTACCCGCTGCGGTAGTGGCTGATGGCCTTGATGACTGAGGAAACATCTGATTTTCAGGGAGTGGGGGAGGGAAGAGGATTCTCACTGGCCAGTGAGGCCCCACAAAATGATCACAGCTGAAGAAATGAGCCAATGCCATCAACGGGGCTTTGAAACTGCTGGCCCCAGCCAGGATCTGCCCCCATAACCAGATGCTTCCGGCTTCAGACATATCCAAACTCCAGACTCAGAATCCTAGAGTGCTGTGACTCAGAAGCCCCCAGAGGAGACGGCGTTCCCCTGGGCCTGGAAGGGTGGATAGGATGAAATACAGAAGCTGATGAAGGGAGGGGGTGGGAGACAGTGGTGGGCATGAGCTTGGCAAAAGCCCCCAAGGGATCGCCCAGATCTCAGCCCAGCCTCACAGCCTTGTAACGATAGCCAGTCTGTCTACCCCGTTAATCATGAGCTCCCAAAGGGAGGACTGTGTAGCAGTCACCTTATCGGCCCTTTCGGAGCCTGGCTCCGGGCCTGGCACACAGTAGGCGCCCATCAAACATGCACGGTCGGGTTGTGCTCCCCACTGGCCCAGGCCCTGCTGGTCCGCTCCCTGGGAAGGAGATAATCCCTGTGTTTGAAGCTCAGTGATGTGGAACTGCCCCAGTGACCACTTCCATCTGTCCCTGCCGAGGCTGCTGGGAATGTCTTCCTGCCCTGTGGCACGGGGGCTCAAATCTGAGATTTTAGCAACAGTCCCCCTCCCTACCCTGACACTGCCAGTGCCCTGGCCCGGGCCACCACCATCTCTCACTACGGTCCCCACCCTGGTCTCCCTGCCCTTGCTCAGAGATCAGTACAGACGTATGGAATGGATGAGCAGATGTCAGGCAGGCATGGTTTAAGAACGCATGGATTTTGCTGTCCAGACCTGAATTTGAATCTCAGTTCCAGCACTCAGCCGTGGGCACTTTTCCTCGCTTGTCTGAGCCTCAGTTTCCTCACCCACAAATGGGGATGATAATGGCTGTTCGTGAGGTGTTTGTGAGGATGAAAAAGAATGTCTCTGCAAAGTGCCCGGCCATTACTAGTGTCCTGACCGTTACCTTTTCCTCTCCACCTGCCAAGCCCCCTGGAGAACCTGGCCCCTCCCCACGAGCGGCCACTGCTCCCCGAGCCTGCCTGACTGTGCTTGGCGAACCCTGGGGACCTGACCCCGGACTCACAGGTGGCACAGCCGGCCTCGTCCACTCCACTCTCGCAGTCCTTCTCTCCATCACAGCGCCACGAAGCAGGCACACACTTGTGGCTGGTGGGTCCACAGCTCAGCTTCTCTGCGGGACACACCTGCTTGGCTGTGGAGACAGACACACGTGCATGGCTTAGCCGCGGGGGACACAGGGCATGGTGCCAACCGGTCCTACTGCCTGGCTCCAGCCACCTGGCCCGAGGCCCTCGGAATCCACCAGGGCCTTCCTGCCCCATGTCTCAGTTTCTTCGTCTGAGAAGAAGCCCCTGTCTTCCCCTAAGACTTCCTGAATCCTATAACTGACCCCACCACTGCCCTGCCTAACACCCTTTCGTGGCCCCCTGGCCCCTGGCCCTCAAGGCCCTCCTTGATCCAGCCAACCCCTGCCTGCCTCACCGGCCCGACCTTCCACCCTTCCAAGCCTTCCCTTTAGGCTCCAGCAATGTGGAGCCGCCTTGCCCTGCATGAGTCTCTGCCATTTCCAGCTGTGTGCCCTTGGGTGAGATATGCCCCATGTGGGCCTCAGTTTGCCTTCCAGATCAGTGACTCCATGACTGCAGATGTGCAGGGCTCACCAAGGCCCCAACAGCTCCCTCCAATCCCCCTCCCCTGGCGATGGTGCTGAGAGCAGCCGCTGAGTGGCAGGGCCCAGCGGGACCACACAGCTATAATTACTGCAGCTGCAATCAGAGGCTGACTCAATCAGGGGCTCGAAGCCCCAGGGTTGATTCTCAATTTGGAAGAAAGAATGAGAACCCTGATCAGGCCTGGGGATGGCTCTCATCTTGAGCGTCCCAGAAGGTCCCACGTGACAGACCCAGCTGAGGCAGACGCATCTCAGGCCTCCGCGGCTGGCTCCCTCTGCCTTTCAGGGGGTACACGAGGCCGAACTCAGTGGTCTCCAGGACGTGCCAGGCACAGAGCTAGACGCTTCCATTTAATCTTTACAACAACCCAGCAGGGTGAAGATTAGGTTGGGGCCTCCAGCACGAAGGTCGAGGCCATGGGCTCTGGGGCTTGGCTGCCTGGGTTCAGCTCGGTCACTCACTGGCTATCTACCTTGGCCAGCAATCCTCATCTCTGTGCCCATAAAGTGGGGACAATACTATTCCCTATCCCACAGGATTGTTACGAACACCTACGTTAATGTCTGTAAAGCCCTTAGAACGCCCAGCCAGTGCTCACTAATGATACCTACTATTACTCTCCACGCGTAGAGCTGAGGACTTGTTTGTTCCCTCAGTGAGTAGCTATTGAGCACTGCTGTGTACCAGACACGGCACCCATCACCAGGTACTAGTCACACAGCTGTCAAGAGCCGAGTGAGGATGCAGTCAGCTGTGTCTGATGCCAGAGACGGCACAGTCCCCTGCACCCTGCAGGTGGCAGGTTACTGGTGCCTTACCCTCAGTTTTTCTCTCTGATCTCAGACCAGTTTTTCTTCCTCTTACTTCCATAGCTGGGGTGAGAGGCCAGAAGAGATGGAGAAAAGGGCACAGACAAGGTGGGGTTGGGAGCAGGTATCTGAGTCAAGGCCCCCAGACACTACTACGCTGGGGGAGAGGAGTACCTCGGACCCCTAACTGTGGATCCCAAAGTTATCCCTAGGAATACATTTCACAGATACAAGGCGACCTGTTGGGAATACGGGATTCACAGGATTCATTTTACAGAAATTTCCCTTTACAGATACTGTCGTGTAGAGCCCTGGAAAGCACTGACACTCAAAGACCCTTTACCACGGCCTCCTCGGGGCGAGTGCAGGGTGGTGAGCGGCCTGGGAGTCAGAAGAGGGGCCCAGAGCACCTCCATCACCCACGCACTGCAGGACCCGAGAAAGCACTTCCCACTCTGGGCCCAGCAGAACACGAGGGGGCTGCAGCGACCAGTGTGTCCTGGAGTCCTGACTAAGGGGTGGGTGCGTGAGGGCTGTTGGAAGTGCAGGTTCTTTGGCTCCAGCTCACTCTAGACTGAATCCAAACTTCCGAGGGCAGAGCCCAGGCATTTTAGCCAACTCCCCCCCACTTCACCTCCCCTGGTGATTCTCATGCACCCTATTTGAGAACCCCTGAGTTATCATTCTACAAGTCTAAAAGATATAGGATATTTCATCTCTTAAATTCAGTCCCAGAAAAGTGATAGAGGAGGTTCTGTATGTTTCCTGAGGGAACCATGGGATGGAGGGACGAGGCAGCCATATATCCCTGCGCCAGGCCTTAGGAAACAGAGGAGCTGGCAGGGAGCCACATTCACTGGGCACCTACAGTGGGTCAGGCTGCTCCATTCTGAGGAGCTGATACTTTCCCATGTCATCCTGACCCTCACCCTGCCAGGTAAGTGGGCCCTGCAGGCTGTGAGTGCAAACTCCAGGGGCACCATTCGCAAAGATCATCATGTCAGTGGCACCCCTGGAATGGAGTAGGGCAGTGGTCCTGCAGGTAAGCACTCCATTTTACAGATAAGGAAACTGAGGCTCAGAGAGACCAAGTAACTGGCCCAAAATGCACAGCAGTGAGGGGCAGAGTCCCGGTTCCTTGGACTAAAAACCCTGCCCTTTTCCCTCAAACCCCTCCTGCTCCTGTGGGTAGAGAAGTGGCCCAGAACCAGCCCCAAATTCTCTGCCCAAAAGCCCAGGTGACTGAAATGGCCCCTGACCTGTCCACACCATCTCTGGGGGCCTGGTTCTGCATACCCCAGTGCAGCAGGCAGCTGCTTGAACTCTGAATGAATATTTATACAGTTAATTGCATAACCTTTCAGCAAGGACAATGATTAAACAATCCGTCTGCTTCCTTTCTTTATAATTAATAAGACATTTGCTGTGTCCCTAAATAGACAGCTCTAATTACAGGCTCTCGAGGATTCAGCAGTGCCTGACACCAGCCCTCCTACGCTCACAGAGCCAAGGCACCTTCTTGGAACGCCGGGACACAAGAGGCCTTGGAGGGCACACTGAGGAGCAGCCATTGGAGTGACAGGAGGCAGAAGCCCAGAGAGGGGAAGTGACCTGCCCGGCTGCTAGATGCTGGGTGCTCCAACAGCTGTCTCTCCTAGAACCTTGCCGTCTCCGCTGGGGTGCAGCTGTTCCCCAAAGCAGGACACAGACCTTGCCCCGCGGGCTCCTGGGTGAGGCTTCTCACCACTCAGCCCTGGGAAGTGAGTCTGGGGAGTGCTGATGTGCAGTATCTCCTCACGAGGTGGGTGGGGAGAGCAAAGCCCAGAGAGTGAAAGTCGTTTGCTCGAAGTCTTGTGGTGAAGGGCAGAGCTGGGCTTCCTCCCCAGGTCCCTCAACTCCAATTGCACTGCTTAACTCATGGCACTGGACACTGCACGTGAGAAAAGTAGGCCCCACCGGTCTCCCGGCAACCCTGGGCTGCAGAGGGGTCACTGGAGGGAGGAGGCTCACCGGACCTTTGCTCAGGCAGAGTCTGTGAGATAGCAGATGGCCGTCTGATGTCCACTTTCAGGATAACTAAAGCTAAAGGCCCCAGGCAGCACGACGCAGGAGACAGAGCATGGGTTTGGAGCCGGACAGGCCTGGGTCCAAATCTCATTTACTAACATGAAGGTCCTTCAACAAGTCACTTAACCTCTCTGCACCCTGGCTCCCCTCACCTGAAAAAGGGGTTACGTAATCTCCCAGAGTTGATGGGTGGTTTAAATGAGGAAACATGGAAATCCCTTCACTCAGGGCCTGGAGCAAACTTGGAATTCAGCAAACAGTTGCCCTAGTTTTATTTCATGAAGTGCAGATACAAAGGGCTGGGAGGGCCCTGGTCTCACCTCTGGGGATGCACATTACACATTATTAGAGTCCACAGGGCCTGCCACGACGCAGCCTCCACCCCTGAACTGAACACCTCTCCCTCTCTCCACCTCTTGTCCTCTCCTGCCCTCTCTCTCTCCCTCCCTCCTTCTCCCTCTCTCTCTCTCTCTCTCTCTCTCTCTCTCACACACACACACACACACACACACACACACACAAACAGATGCCGCAAGGGATGCCTCTGGCCTGCTGTCCAAGTAACCCCAGGTTCTCCGAGGCAGGAGTAACAAGCCCCACTGTGTCTCAGACATCAGGAATCCTCCAAGTCACCAAGGGCCTGCAACTGCACCCTGGAGTGGCCGGAGGCATTTATAAATTCCCAGAGAAGCCTGCACCAGAAATCCAAATCCAATGGTACTTTCTCTAATTCATAAGTTCACAAATTAACAAAAAGGGAAATGTCTGTTGAATAAAAGAATGAAAGTGCCTGACAGCTACTTATTGAGCAAGCACATCTGCAGTGTCAGGTCACAAGAGGCACAGGGGCAGACAACCTCCGCACGGGGACTGCCAGCTCCGAGGGGACCAGCGGCTCAGGCAGTGGGAACTTCAGGGTCTAGCTGCTGCCCCAGGAGGCACGACATGGGACGTCCCACTGTGCAGAAGGGGGCAGTTACACCAAGCTTCTTCTCACAGGGTCAGCTGGGTTGGCCTCTAACCTTGCTGGGATCTCATAAAATCTCTGGTCTCTGATAGGAAGGTACGCTTGGTTAATCTGTGAGGTCCCCCTTTCAGATGGGAAGGCTCTAAGACGCATGAAAAAAACCTCATTTTCAATAAGCAGCACCCAGAATTGTAACTCCTTCACCTTGAACTAACCTCCCCACCCCCATCCCACGCCCCTCCCAACAGATGCCTGAAGGTGGATCACAAATGGCCCCAGTCAAGTGAGCTATAATTAGAGCTGAAATGCTACTTTCATTAGGCAAATGTCCCCGCTTTCCCACTGTGACTCCTGGCTCAATTTGATAGACACAGAACCCGGAACCAGAAGGAAACAGAGCTGGGAGAAACCCCAGGCAGCGAGGGGCAGATGACATAGTGGGGGAACACAAGAAGGGGGACCTGCTCCCAAATTCCTTTCCCTTCCCTGCAAACCCCACTCACTTAGACTATTCTAAGGCTTTAAATGGGGAGAGGGCCTACAGTCAAAACGTAATCACAAAATAACCCTGCCATTTGCTCCCGCACTGACACGTTGTGTGCATTTTTTTAATTTGATCCTCATAACCCCCGTAGGGTAGGCACCATTACCCCATTTTGCAGACAAATGAACTGAGGCTCAGGGAGATTGGACAACTTGCCTGAGGTCTCACAGGTTAAAGGACCTAAACCCAAATATATCAGACATCAAACCCACTACCCTCTACTACTGCCTATAATCTTTCTTTGCAGGTAGGCAGGGGGCTCTATCCTGCAAGCTGGCACAGTCCCCAGGAACCTGGTAGGCTGTGGAGGTTGCTATGACAACGCCAATTAAATGGGCAGTGAATTGGCTGCCGGGTTCTCACTTGGTCAGGAGGCTGTGAGCAAGCCTGTTACCAGGTCCTGAGGCTGTGAGCAAGCCTGTTACCAGGTCCTGCTCCCGCAAATTCTGCCTGACCCTCAAGGACCCACTCTGGCTGCCCTCCCCCAGGCAGCCCTCCCCACCCACAGACCTTGCCCACCTGTGACCAATGTAACTGTGCATGGAGAGTGGGATCCTGGGCCTTGTGCCCCAGCTGGGTACAGGCAAGGGAGAAAGAGGGCCTCAGAACCCTAAGAGTCCAGGAGTCTTAGAATCACAGTCTTTGGAATTCTGGACTGTTAGAAACTAGGGCCCAGAGAGGGGCGGGAAAGTATGCAGGACCTCACAGTGAATCACTGGGAGAGCCCAGAGGAGAGCCGGGCCGCCGACCCCCAGGGTGTGGCCTCGGTGGCAGCTCCCACGGAGCCCCCTGTCAAGCCTCAGAGACACTGTGGAGCCTGCCTTTTGTCCTGGAAGGCAGACCAGCCATGAACCACCTGTGTGTCTTGGAAGCAGGGCCCTCAGCTTCCCTAAGCCTCCAGCTACTCAATGGTCAGATAAACGTGCTCTACAGCTGAACACAAAGCAGGCCTGGGAGGCAGGAGGCGTGAGGCCCGAGGGCACCCACACAGCCCAGAGGATGGGAAGGCAGCAAGTGCTGGGATGGCGAGAGGGAGGAAGACAGAGGGAAACGTGGGCAGGGCAGCAGAGAGAGAGCCGGCAAGAGGGAGAGGGAGGAGGGGCAAGCAGGGAAGGGAGGCAGCCCGACAGTGCAGGGTTGGGCAGGAGGGAGATGAAAAGGAGCGTCAATGCAAAGAGACAGAGACCTGGGGAGGCGGGGGAGCACAGCGCTCAGGCAGCAGGACAGACCCCAGGAATGACCCTGACGATGTTCCCCCTCCCCTCCCACCTCCAGTGTCCAGGGAAACCGCAGGCATGGGGTCTGGATGACCGAGCTGATTGCCATGGTGGCCACAGCCCCCTGCCCAAACACACAATCTGGGCTGCACACAGCTCTGCCCTATATTAGCTGGGCAGCCTTGAGCAAGTGGCTGAACCTGTCCCAGCCTCAGTTTCTTTCTCTCTAAACAGATCCACCCCCGCTCCCAAGGTTGCCAGGAGGATGAGGCACCAGTGGGCGTGGCTGGGCTTTGTTCCTCCTGAAGCCAAGCTCAGGACAAAGCACTGGGCTGCCCTTGGGCCCAGACACCTGGGGCTGCACCAGCTTTGGCTACTTGGTGGGGTGAGGGAAGAATAGGGCCTGCAGCAAGTCCGGGGAAGGCAGGGCAGCTGTGCAAGGGAACGAGGGGGTGCCCTGTCTCGGGCGGGGACGGCTCCTGCTCTCCCTTTCTCTCTCCCTTTCTCTTTCTCTCCCACGGAGACTGGTAGCTCTGTTGCTAGGAGACAAGGAAACCCAGTTATCACCAGCCGCAGCCCTAGATGGGACGCTGGGCTCCATTGTCCCCACCTCCGCCTCTGGGGTGACTGTGACCCTTAAGGAAGATCCGGGACTGTGACTCGCAGGTCCCTGCCAGCCCCACCCCCACCCCAACCAGGTCCCCCCCGCCTCGCCCCCTGTCCTCCACGTGCGGCCCCCACCCCGGCCTTTTGTCTCAGGCTCATTCTGCTGAAGCTCTGCCTCCGGGACCACCGGGTCCTTCCCTGCCCCCGTCTCATCTCCTTTTTAATTTAACAAATGTCATGGAATGACCTGGTGGGTGTAAGTTTGCTTTGAGGATTAGGGCCTGGAAAAGAAATCCCAGAGAGACAAAGCCTGAGTATGGGAGGCGGGGGCCTGGGGCTCCGCTCTGGCCCTCGCCTCACCCCTGGCTGTCTTCGCTGCCAGCAGCCCGCCCAGAGCAGAGGACAGAGCTGGGGTCTCAAAATCCCTGCCGAGTGGCCTTGGGCAAGTCACTCAACCTCTCTGAGCCTCAGTGTCCGCCTCTGCAAAAGTTAGAAAGTGACAGTACCTGCCTCATGAGGCCGCTGTGGGAATTAGATGAATGAAAGCATACACAGCGCTTAGCACAGTGCCCGCTACACACTGAATGCTCGATACGCACCAGCCGCCATTAGCACTATTAGAATTATGATTAGAGTCCTCAAAACAAATTAGTGGGGGAGGCTGAGGGGAGGCCTGGAGGATGTGCTCTGGCTACTTCTGGGCAGCAGGGCTCCCAGAACTACAGGAGCAGGGCCCAACCTGCCGGAGGGCTGGGAAGAAAGTCCAGAAACAGGTCACCAGACACCAGCAGCTAGAGGCACCGGACTGTCAGCCCGGAGCTGGCAAGGGCTCAGCACAAAGTGAGTCTGAGGCTGCGCGTGACAGATCACCTCACCAGAGCCTCCCAACCTCCCAACCGGGAAGACCTGATGAGGAAACTGAAGCCCAGAGCCAGGTCCCCTCCCCCAGCCTAGGGGCAACACTCACTGCAAGTGGCCTCGGACTCGTCCGAGCCGTCGGGACACTCCTCCTCGCCATCGCACTTCCACCGCTCTCGGATGCAGTGGCCGTCGTCACAGGTGAAGTCGCTGTCCGCACAGGTCTTCTTGGCTGCGGGGCAAGGAGAAGAGCGTGAGGGGCCTGGTGGGCACGGGGCTTTTCTAGGACATACACTCAGGTGGCTACGGGGTGACCAGACTGTGCTGGTCTGCAAGCTGGACCACGTGACCTCCCATAGCCTCCCTGACCAAGAGGAGTGGACAGGAGAGAAAGGCTTATTCATTCCACACCAGGAGGAGACGGGCAATCCCTGGCCTTGCTCTCCAGGTTCAACAAGGGTGACAGGATTCATCCATCCGGGGAATGCCCATTCCCATCACACCTCTCTCTTCCTCCCAAGGCCAGGTCCACTGTCACAGCCTCCAGGAAGCCTTCCCTGATCACATACGGTAGCTGCCTTAGCCCCTTCAGCCAGTTCTCAGTCCCTTTACCTGCCTTTCCTGCTCCCCACAACCAGACTGAAGTCGAGGCTCCTTCTGCAAGCACCAGGGAGCTGGTGATAATAAATTATGAAAGTAAATGATCACCTTGCAGCAAGATTAATGAGGTGTGTTTTGTTCAGAGCGAGGGAAAGAGAATCTGTGGGCAAGACATCCAAATAAGTCTCTGCTCCCAAGGCGCTTATGGCCACACAGGGGGTTGGAATCCCAGCTCTGCCTCTTTCTATCTGTGTGATCTTGGGGATGTTACTTAAGCTCTGAGCATCTGTTTTCTTATTTATATAATGGGGAGAAAGAAACAAAGGGCTCCAAGGAGAAGTAACAAGAAGTTATAATGTATGAAGATCAGGCAGCAGAGACCCTGGCACACAGCAGATGCTCAGTAAGTAGCAGCTATTGCTGTTTTTATGGTCTGAGCCTTAATTAGAAGCAAAGGAAATGGGGTGTTCTGTGCCCTCATAGGGGAAGCACACAGCAGGTCGGAGCAGCTGGGAGCAGAACTCCCAGCTGGGAGCAGAACTGGGACAAGAACACAGGGACCAACAGGGTTTACTTTTCTCCCTCCCTGTCCCTCCACTGGCCTGACACTCCCCCAGCGCAGGGATTGCATCAGATTCAGCACAGGACCCAACTCAGGGTAGATTTCAGTGCAGGGCATTGAACCCATCGGAAACGTAGCTGTCCAGCCTCTGCTCCCGCACCTCCAGGGCCAGGCTCTCCCTCTCCCCGGGAAGCTCCTTCCCAGTGACCAGCCTTGGGTTATGTAAATCCTCCCACAGGCCCTCTGGCCCCCTCTGGAGCCACATGACTGCTCCCCCACTGAGCAGCCTAATAGGGATTTGGGGACAGATGCTAGGCCTCCTGAATCCATTCCATTTCTGTCTTTCTTTTCAATGAAATCCTTGCAGTACATCTGCATTCTAAGCTGAGCTTTCTTCACACTTTCCTTAGAAGAACATCTCTGCCTGTGCAGGGTTGGAAGAAACCAGAGGAATCAGAGTCTACCTACAGATGGGGGCCTGAGACCCAGAGAGAGAAAAGGGCTGGCCCAGGGAAACACAGGAAGGCAGCAGTCAGAACGAGCTCACTTGCCTCCCAGTCCAGGACCCCCAAAAAGCCCTCCCTGAGCCCTGCACTGAGGGGTCCACATGGGTGATAAATACCAATGTGGTATTTGGTAAATCACAGCTTTTGGTAAATCATGGCTTATAGTGCATCAGAAAGGAAGTATACTTATGAACCACGGCACCTGGGGCATTTCCTAATATGAGCACCAGGGCGCCCCTTCCACAGGAAGCTCAGCATTCAAAAAAGAAACATATATTCCAGTGCTTTCTTTTTCCGATTCTAACATTCTCCAAGTGCATCCTGTGTGCCAGTCTCTGTGCCAGGCACTTTACCAGGAAACCCCACGACAAAGGGCCTGTTCTGTCCCTACTTGACATGTGGGGAAATTCAGCTCCAGGGTGTTAAGTTACATGACCAAGGTCACACCTCGGTGGGAGCAGAGCCACAGTTGGACCTCACAGTCAGACGTCCCTCTTCCCCACCATGGCTCTCCAAACAAAATGCCCAGGGGCATCAGATACGGAAGAAAAGCCCAAGAATAGGTGGGAAGTCCATGGAAGCTTCAGCTCAGTGCTCAGTGAGCTTGTGTCTGTGCCCTGAGCACACGGATGAGAAGTCCGCCCAGCCCGTCAGCACGAGTGCATGACCAGCAAACCCCAGGAGAGCAAGGCAGGCTTGACGAAGAAGGGGATGGAGGGGCTCCATCGCTGGGCCTCGGCCAGCCAGATGCTCGCCACGGACCCTTTCCTCCCTGGCATCCTGGGAGCCTGGGAGTCAGCTTGGCCTCCCACAGTGTGCCAAGTCCTGACAGGCCAGAGCGGCCACAAGCAACATCACAGTCCTGAAGGGCAGCACTGAGGCCAGGAAATGGCAGGCTCGGGTGCATGTCCCATGGTGGTGTTTTGGGGAACAGACCTGTTTCACTGTCATGACCAGTTTGGACGTTTTCCACCCTTGCTCTGCCCTGCCACCTTTCACTCAATATCCCAGTGATTCCTCGTAGCTATTCTGGCAGCTGTTGTTAATCCCATTTTACAGAAGAGGAAATTGAGGCTCAAAGAGGTGAGGGTGGTAGGTGGCAGAAGTGGGATTTCAAGTCCATGTGGCAGCTTCCAAAGCTTGGACTCTTTATACTAAGTCCCTTAGCCACCTCAGCATTATCGGGCAAAAAATGAGGACCCCAGAGAGGCAAATGCAGTTGGACTAGATCCCAGGGGCTGCAGGACAAGGCAATGTGGCGGATCCACCACAGACCAGAGGCACCTGCATGAAGGGCTCCCCTGGAATGTGCCCAGAAATGTGCGGTAAAATAAACCTGGGCCTGTGACAACTTATGCTTTGCTAATGGACCACTCTGGGGAAACTGAGGCAGCATGGTCAGTTTCAGGCTGGGGACTAGACTAAACCACCTTGGCAGACCCTGTATGACGTGTAACCACGTGGAAGGATTTGGAAGCAGAGCTGACCCTGAACCCTGGCACGGCCACCTCCTCTCTGGGTGACCCTGGGCAAGTTCCTTCCCTCTCTGGGCAAGTGAGGATTGTGGCTTTCCCAGGCAGCACTGCCACACAAGGTCAAAAGGCAAAAAGGGATCTGAGCAAGCATCCCAGTGTCAGGTTGTGCAGTGTAAAGAGCCCAACAGCCCCTTGTCAAGAGGCTACATCAGCCCCACCAAGAGATGAGGGCAGGGCAGTCTTTTGAAGCTGTCAGAGCAAACCATGCCAGCCCCCACTCTCCTGGCCTTGGCAGCCTTGGCTCCAGCTTCCAGGGTGATTCCCAAGCTGGGCTCGAGGCCGTGGCTCTATATTTCCAGGGATTTATGTCCCTCCATGCCAGTCACCCCTTGGACAATTCCCACCTCTGTGAATCCCTGTACTCCACAGCCCAGGAGCAGTACACAGTCATCCAGGATCTGCGACATCATAATCTGGTGCCATGGCAACAGATGGGCTGCCACAAAGGACTTGGGATTCCTAAGGGCAGTGGGGAGGGGCCAACCCCAGGGCAGAGGGGGAGAGAATGGGAAATCCAGGACAAAAGAAGGGGGAGCTGCTAATTATAACAAGAACGCAGGCCAAGGAAAGCGTCAGGCTGCTCACGGTTGATGGAACTCTGTTCTGCCACTTGTGGGCTGTGTGACCTTTTGCAAGTTACACAACTTCTCTGAGCCTCACTTTCTTCACCTACATTCAGGGATAAAATCTCTGCTTCACCACAGAGGGTTGTTGTGAGAAGCAAACAGGCTAAGGATGGTGCAAGGACCTTATGAACTGAAAAGCAGAAAGGTGCAAGTTTGCGGCGTGTGAAGGCAGCAGCTCCAGCTGCTATGTGTGTGACACTGGGCTCATCAGCCACATGGGCCTGCCTCCTCATCTGGATATGCAAGTGCGGACCTGACTGAATCTTCAGCCCTCTGTGCCCAGAGTCTATGATCTTGCGAAATTGTTATGATCACTCATCACCTCCCAGCTTCCCCGCCCCCAGAGGCGTCCTGCCCCGAGACAATGTGCGTCCTTCGTGCTGTTATTCCCCACCCATGCTCTTCCTGCAGCCCCAGTGCAGACAGGAGGCTTCAAAACAAAGATTAGCCAGGACTGCCGGGTGGAGCTGCTCGGTGTGGCTTCGTCTTGGCAATCACAACGCTCTGTCCTGTCAGAGCCCAGGGCTTTGAAGTCCCCTCTGCGGCTCTCCTGTTCTAGAAGCTGAAGTCAGGCCCGGGGAGAAGGGGCTGCTCCAAGGCACAGCACGTGTCTCTGGGAGGGGCTGTGCCTGAGCCCAGGCATTCTGACCCCCAGTCCCACTGTGTGGCCAGGAAGCCAGGCGAGGGCCACCCAACCATCCCAGGGGGCAGGGAAGGCTTCCTGGAAGAGGGGGCTGTGTTCAAGGAAGAGAGGTCATCCAAGCCGTGGGAGTGAGGAGAGCAGAGAAGGGTGTTCCAGGGAGAGGGATAACAGGCCATGGGGTGTGGAGGAGCCAGCGGAATGGCCGTTTGGGGCTGGGGAGGAGGCAAGTGGCAAGGGACCTGGGAGCTCCACTAGGCCAGGGGCCAACTCGCCCCACCTGGCACCAGGCTGCCCTCAGAGGCCCAGTGCAGGGACCTGGCTTTCCCTGAGCTCACCTAGGGACTCACCCCGCCCCTGCTAAGCACAGGGCAGCCAACAAAACCCATGGCTCCAAGCTGCCTGGGCCTCCTTCAGGATTTGGCGTGTCCGTGCACACGGACCATCAGGCCCTGGCAGAGGAAGAGAGAGGCAGACGGCAGGACAGAGAGCTGCAGGACCGTCCACCCAGAGGTTTGGGTTAAGATTTATTACCTTCCCCTTGAAGATTCATGATGCCCACCGGCTTCCTAAGGGCCCTGAGAGGCCTACAGTAAAGATATCAGATGGATTTTGTTTCCTCCAGCACATCCCAAACTTGTTTAGCCAAGGAGTGTCTTTGTTGGATGCCACGTCTATTAATTTCCCAAGAAACAAGTGTCCAATGAACCACACTTCACGAAACACTGCTATAGTGCCAGCCCCTCAGATCAGATGAGGCCCA